ACGATGAAGATCAGATAGGCCAGCGTCACGGTACGAAGTCCAGCAAGGACAGAACAACACTCTTCGCATAGACGTCCAGCGAAAGTCGTATCAACCGGTTTAGAAGTCGGACGTCGGTAGAACTTGGCGAAGAGTGAAGGTCCGACAAATGGTATGAATCCGAATCTTTGGTTGGCAGAGGAGAAACTCCGGCTTCACCTTGGCGGAGTTTTGGCGTCAGGAGGGAACTCCTTGTAATTAGGAAGCAATTTCAGCATCCCATGGAACGTTGGGAAGTATTCTGGCGTTTCTCCGAAATCCGGCAGAGTTCCGGCGTCTTCAGCGGCAGGAAAGCTTCGGCGATGGTAGAGAAGGCTGAGGAATCTCCTTTTCCCTTTCCCTCTTCTTCTTCTCTCTCTTCACTTGAAGTCCCCTTTGTGTAGAATGAGGGCTCTATTTATAGTTTTTCTTGAGTGGCATAGCCCGTAAATATCGTGAGATCAAGGGCGAATTAGGAGTAGTTTGAATGGACGGCGGTATCGAATCCTTTGATCATGCACCGTTCGTTGGGTATTTGAAGGCCTTAATGATGTCGGAATTTGGCGATCTTGGGCTCGTTGGATTCGTATCGTCGAGCCGTTCGATCGAGTTAAGCTCGTCAAAATCAGAGCCGTTTGACAACTCAAATTGCGGTTTTGAACCTTCCAACAAGCGCTTTAAGCCTTGATTCGGACTCATTTGGGCTCGGATTGGGTTGATCTTGGTGTCGTTGGTTTAGTATTCCGAGACGCTCAGTTTGACTGTAAGCTCACTGAATCGGAGTTCATATGCCCCGAAAGTAATTTTTGAAGTTTCCAAACTGATTTTGCCTCGAGTTGTGCCCGATCAAGTTAATTTGTGATGACTGTAGCATTTCTAATAATTTTTTAATAAAAAAATTTCTTACAAACAATTAAAAAATAGTGAGTAGAATTTGTTACTCAACATAATAGCACATATCTTCATACATAATTAATGTTGCTTAAAATAATCATGTTTATTTTTAAAATTTTTTTCACAATAAAAAATATATTATTGTAAATTAATTTTTTTAATTTGCCAGATTCATAAGATGATCGATGTAATTGTCTTAATTATTAATTAATATAATAACTTAAAATTATTAAAATCTTCTTTAAATAATTAACAAAAATACCTAAAAAAATTAATATGTAAGGCAATTAATTTCTTGAACAACATCAGATCAAATCAATACAATTAAATAATATCAAATTTCTCATAAAGCCATCAAACGGATTAAAACGGTGATCGGCTCCTAATTCGACCTGTCAAAACAGCTAATACGCTGCTTGATTTATCCAAAATGCTTTACTAGCAGCTTTCTACGAAAAATATGCACAGCATCATTTATTTTATTTCTTTTTTATTTCTGATCAAGTACGATCCACATCAAAGGTAACAAAAATCGACTCAAATTTGATCGAAAATTTTGGATTAGAACCGATTTGATTGGAATAATGAGCCAGTTTCAGGTTCCCGAATTCAACCCCAAATTTGACCTATTTAAAAAAATGGCGAATTCTGGTTGACCCAAAAACCAAAACTCAACCCCAGTTAGCCTAGGAAAAATGAGTATGAATGCCACATCGCGTCGAGTGCTCGCCCGCGCGATGCGCAGATCGACGTGCCGCCCCGCCATCTATGTCGACTGCCCTCCCCACCTATGGCCTCACCCCGTGTATAAGTCAGGTCGAGTCGGGTCAACTTGACAACCTGTCCGGGTTGAAAAACCTGACTTATATGCAAAACGGATTGGATTGAATTGGATCAACAAGTATCGGATCAATTCCGAATTGGACGAACCAAACCCATGATCTGATTTTATTTCATGTCCACTAAGTTTTTGTATTACTTTGTTGGGCTTTTCCTTCTTCTCATTTATAAGTTTTTACTTGTAATGTTGCTTTTACTCAGTAATAGATAGATGGCTTAAGCCGCCAAAATTCCCAAAAAAAAAAAAAATTGCAACACACGAAAAAAGAGCAGATTCTTTCAAGCTAATGAAAATGGCAAAACCTTGGTTTCAAGCATAAATAATGGCTTTCAATAGTCAGTTCGCACTGTTCAATATGGTAAAGCTATTAGGACCGTAATGTAAAATAAGCACAGGAACACACTCCTAATGTCCAGATATCCTCCTCATGCTACCCACCTCCACGCTCATAAATATAAAATAAATGTTTGTCAACGATAACAATCAGCAGCAGGCCTGTATTATTCCATGGTGAAGCTCAAGTACTAAATACTGCAATCTATCAACAATTCAAAGGTTTAAGTATGAAAATCCTCCTTTGGGCTTCCTTCCAGGACTTTATTTGGCATGATTTGGCAGAGACTGTGCACTTGGGGGGAAGTTGTTAATTTCAGCATCCCATGGAAGTTGGGAAGTATTCTGGCGTTCTCCCGAATATCCGGCAGAGTTCCGGCGTCTTTAGGCGGCAGGAAAAGCTTCGGCGATGGTAGAGAAGGTGAGGAATCTCCTTTTCCCCTTTCTCCTCTTCTTCTTCTCTCTCTTTTATCTTATATTTTTTTATTTCATTCTAAATATTAAAAAAATTACAACTAATTAATGAAATATAATACTATACTAATATAGTCGATCAAAACTCCTAAATATGATATACTCTAAAGATAACTGTTATTTTCTTACCTACTTTTTAATATTTTTTTATTCCTATACTTAAATAAAAATTAAGATTATTCTTTTTTAAACATTATTTATGTTAGAGGAATATTAAATTATTAAATTCAAGGTCAAACCACACCCTATTTTATGCTTGAATAATTAATCTTGCTAAATTCAATGAATTCGAGCTGCTCATAAACAACTTTTTTAATAAAAAAATAGAATATTAATTTAAAACAACCAAAGAGTAATAATGAGAGACCATAAAAAGGAATCGGTGTAGTTAGGTTTTTTTTTTTGGGGGGGAGATAGGGATTCATTTCCGTACCATATATTTTCTTAATACTTTCTAAAATAATTTTTTAATAAAAAAATTTCTTACAAACAATTAAAAAATAGTGAGTAGAATTTGTTACTCAACATAATAGCACATATTTAATGTTGCTTAAAATAATCATATTTATTTTTAAAAATTTTCTTCACAATAAAAATTATTGTAAATTATTTTTTTTTTTAATTTGCCAGATTCATAAGATGATCGATGTAAATGTCTTTAATTATTATAATAAAATATAATAACTTAAAATTATTAAAATCCTTCTTTAAAATTAACAAAATCCCTAAAAAAATTATATTGTAAGGCAATTAATTTTCTTGAACAACATCAGATCAAATCAAATACAATTAAATAATATCAAATTTCTCATAAAGCCATCAAACCGGATTAAACAGGTGATCGGCTCCTAATTCGACCTGTCAAAACAGCTAATACGCTGCTTGATTTATCCAAAATGCTTTACTAGCAAGCTTTTCTACGAAAAATATGCAACGCATCATTTATTTTATTTCTTTTTTATTTTCTGATCAAGTACGAATCCACATCAAAGGTACCACAAAAATCGGACTCAAATTTGATCCGAAAATTTTGGATTAGAACCGATCTGATTGGAATAATGAGCCAGGTTCAGGTTCCCGAATTCAACCCCAAATTTGACCTATTTAAAAAAATGGGTCGAATTCTGGTTGACCCAAAAACCAAAACTCAACCCCAGTTAGCCTAGGAAAAATGAGTATGACTGCCCGCATCGCGTCGAGTGCCCGCCCCGCCATTGCGTCGACTGCCCGCCCCGCCATCGCATCGAATGCCCGCCCCGCCATCATGTCGACTGCCCTCCCCACCTATGCCTCACCCCGTGTATAAGTCAGGTCGAGTCGGGTCAACTTGACAACCTGTCCGGGTTGAAAAACCTGACTTATATGCAAAAACGGATTGGATTTGAATTGGATCAACAAGTATCGGATCAATTCCGAATTGGACCCGAACCAAACCCATGATCTGATTTTTATTTCATGTCCACTAAAGTTTTTTGTATTACTTTGTTGGCCTTTTCCTTCTTCTTCATTTACAGTTTTACTTGTAATGTTGCTTTTACTCAGTAATAGATAGATGGGCTTTAAGCCCCAAAATTTCCCAAAAAAAAAAATTGCAACAACAACAAAAAAGAGCAGATTCTTTCAGCTAATGAAATGCAAACTTGGTTTCAAAAGCATAAATTAATGGCTTTCAATAGTCAGATTCGCACTTTTCAATGTAAAGCTATTGTACCCTAAATGTAAATAAGCATAGGAACAACTCCTATGGCCAAATATCCTCCTCAATGCTACCACCATCCACTCATAAAATATTAAATATAACGTTCGCTTAGCATAACAATCACAGCAGGCCTCAGCTATTATCCATGGTGAAGCTCAAGATACTAAATACTGAATCTATAAAAAATTTCCAAAGGTTTAAGTATGTTAGGCTCCCCCTTGCTTCCTTCCAAGGAATTTATTTGGATGATTTGGCAGAGACTGTGCAATGGAAGTTGTTTGGTTTTCACCTTTATTACTTCTAGTAACAATTCTTAGAGGATGAGCTTCTGTGTTGAAGACCCACTCATCCAAAGAGATGAGAGATGGCGGTGAGAATAGGAGATAAAGATATTTGAGAGTTTCAGCAAGGAAAAAGCTCTGCATCATGTTATCCTTGGTGCCAGTATTTACCTGAACAGAAAAATGCAAACAATACAATATAAGGAGCCAAAAGCTTTGATTATTTGGATGAATTATTCTGTGCGGACATCGAACGTCATCCAGAGTCCAATGAAAATGTGCCACGTCACCCGTTACTCGGTACTGTGGCTCGGTACCGAGCTCGGTACTGGATGATGTGGTTGCACTTGATTCGCCTCTGGACGGTAAGCTGTGTCCGGTGTCTGCACCTTGATTTGATGATGAAACATTGTACTGAACTTCTAATTATAAGATTTGTTATGAAGTATAGTGTGTATAAGTGCTAAAGAAGGCTGACCTAGAGCAATATTTAGTTTCATTGTGATCTGGGCATATGGCGATACTTTCATGCACTTAGTGCACTATTTTGTTCATAAGGTGCTACAAAGAAAGTAAAGAGCAAAGTACGTACATCCTTTAGTCCAACATAGCCAGAATCTATGCGAGAGTTCTTTTCAAATGCTTGGAATATATTCCAGCCCCATTCCTTATATGTTTTATTCCCAGTAATACGCCAGAGATACATTAGTGATTCTATAGTCTCTGGTCTCAATATGTTCCATGACGTGCCAACATGCATGTCCTGCGGTTTTTCAAAGTTGAAGGGATGGTTCAATCAAGATATTTCAATCTGCAGCAATGGCTGCCAGTATTCAATTAACTGACCTGTCCTTCATGGAAGAAATAGTTTTCACCAGCCAATTTTGTAGGAGTTGTTTGGTAAAAATTGTAACAAGTCCAAGCAAGCTGCAGAGAGATTCCAGATAAGGCATTTTTTTGTCAGAGAAAGCTAAAAAGCTAAATGTTATTTGAATCCTATGATGCTAATAATTTTATAAAAGCAGGGATTGGCCACATAATTTCCTCTGCATGATAAATACAAATTCAAAGAAGGAAAATACAACGCCATGTGTTTGAGTGTTCAAAGAACTTGGAATATCTAAATTGTATATTAATGCCAAAAATGGCCTGATAAAATCAATGTTCATCAGGGATAAAAGCAGAGGAGACAAAACTACCTCTTCAGCAAGTAATAAAGTTTTTTTAGCACTTTCAGAGTCATAGCCAGAAGAACCTAAAGCTAACATTCCTGGAGCAAAGCATGCCAGTTCATCCATCTGCATAAATTACAGAAAAGGTAGGAACTACAAGTTCAGAAATGTTGAAAAGTTCAAATGGATTCACAAGTAGTTCCATAGATCTTAATAAGATTTTACCTTGTCAGACAGATAGTCACCATTCTTCTCACAGAGATATGTGAAGGAAGATGGCGTGCTTTTACGAACCAGACTTTGTAGTCCTTTCATGGATGTCTCCCACATTTCTCTACATGAAAGTCATAAGAAAATAGAAATCTGAATGAATTAATAATCCACTAGTTAATCCATCGAGGTTTCATGCATGCAAGCTTGCCGGTGTATTCTAGTAAACTACTTAGAAAAAAGGACAAGGGAGAGGGTAAAAAGTATTATGTTACAATATAATCAATGAAAATTTCAAACTAAAGAGAGATATTTACAATCACTTTCATAATAAATTTCAATAGTCACCAGTTATCTCACCTGTAATGCTTTACACTCCCAGTTTTGTTTCCTTGTACCCAAACTTTAAGAAGATATTCGTAGAAGCTGCAACACAAGTTTGGACAAAATTTTGCATTCAGTTGTAATGACATGACATTAAGTTGAAACGCATAGTATGCGGTACAAAAACGAAATGAATCAACATTTTTGGGCAGATATATCAGATTTTAGCAAGGCGGTTAGTAAGACTCAAAGTGCTTCTGATGTGAAACAAAATCATGCGAAAGTGATTTGCTTAAAGAAGTTTGCACGTTTAGATTTAGAGGCAATAATAAGCAAGATCTTATGCGGAATTGAACGATAAAATAAATATTAAAGTGGTACTTAGCTTAGGTTAATTTTCATGCATATAAGTTAAGTTCAAAGATAGCCATCTTAATCCAACATTGCCTACGTAGATTGTTCCAACAATAAATTCCAATACTAACAATAAGATTAGGCTATGAAAGATCCCTCACACAACTCTTCTAATTATTAGGCTTTAGTGGAGAAGCATTAACGTGATCGTCATGAATCTACTATACCACAATTGAGAAGCACTTCGAAGATAAAAGAGCCGGGGAAGAGTTTACCCCAAAGACACGAGAGATACGCGCTCCGGCAAAGCGGTTTGTAGTTGGGAATAAAGTGGGCAGCAACCCCGAACCTCCTCGCACTAAGGAACACCCGGGAAGAGGTGCAGAAATTCAGGACAGCAGCCACGTGGTCTCCCGGGGTAGCTTGTTGCTGATTTGGGCACTCTTGGACAGAGGACAGCAGTCTGGAACTTTCCCAAGCAGTGGACAGCAGGTGGAAAATGCCAGAAAATCTATAACAGCTTTAGGATTCTTCTGGACAGCAATTTGAAATCTGGAGTAAAGGTTGACTTGCTTTCCACTCTCAGATTTTGAAATCTGGAGTAAAAACAGAACTCACGTTTGAGTGGGGAGGCATTTGGGAGGTAATTAAGAGGTGATGAGGTGGCAATTAGAGAGAGAAGCAATGGGTTTGAGGTGGCCGGCCATAAGGAGGGAGAAAGGCTTGGTATTAACTCACATGAGGCCCCCAAATTAATCACAGATTTATTCCAAGATTAATCTCAGATTTGGCTGAATTTGGATGGGGCAATTTGAATTTTGAATCCAAGCTTTAATTGTAATTAATTCCTCAATGAGGGAATTAATTGGGGAAAAAAAACCACTGAAGGCCGGCGGCAATGAGAGAGGAGGGGAGAGAGCTTAATGTTGAAAACTGAAATAGATTTCAGTTTTTATAATTAGGATGGGAGGGAAATTTAATTGAAATCAAATTCAGATTTCAATATTGAGAGGAGGGGTATTGATGGCAATTAATGGGAGCCTAATTAGGGGGCCGACGGTAGAGAGAGAGAGGGGGAGTTAGGGAGAGAGGGAGAGGGGTTTCCAAATATGAATAATGACTAAGAAATTTTTAAATAAATCCAAATTAATTTAATTTATAATTTGAATTCATTAAAAAAAAATTCCATAAATGGAATTTCCAAATTTGGAAAGAATTTGAATTTTGAAATTCAAATTCCAAGGAAGGCTAAGGAAGGGAGGCGTGGGGGAGGTGGTGGAGAGGGGAGAGGCCGACGGCAAGATGGCCGGCCGGTGGAGCTAGGGTGGCCGACGGGATGGGGCTCCGAGGGTGGCGGCACTAGTGGAAGCTTCGGCTTCTTCCAACTCTTGGTCGTTGCTTGCGGGAGATTGTGGTGGAGAAGAAGAATGTTGCTTGAAGAAGGGAGAAAGGAGATAACCAAGAAAATAAGAAAAAGATAGAGATAACTAACGAACTCACACAGAGATCGTAGGAACCGCGAACCCCGGACTCTTCCAAAGATTGACGAGTATTGCGAATTACCCTCCTCGGGCTTCTCCTCTCATGAACTCACTAAGAGATCACGTGAACTCACTAAGAGATCAACAAGAACATAAAACTTTTCATTATCAATAATCATCATCCGTTTCCAAGAGGAAGGGGAGGGCTTAAATAACCAAATAAATGAGGGAAAATAAAAGACACAATTTCCACTAGGGCAAACATAGAACAAAGCCCTCAAGTGAGGGTAGAAATGGAAAAGTACAAATAACAAATAAAATACATGAAAATAAATAGACTCTATTCAGATTGCAAAAATACTAAAAATGAGAAAGTTAAAAAAATTAATACTTCTGATAAGGAAAAGAGAGCAAGGAGCAACGTATAGAAGCAAAGTAAAATCATACTACCTATCGCCCATCGCACCAAAAGTTACTTGCGAGCGTGAAGATGTCCCAGAGTTGGGATTTATGTAGATGGAGAGCAGGCCATCGCTCGGAAATGACTTCTGAAATTGAGATATTACATTTTCTACCTACAGGGGAAAAAAATGCTCTCAAAAACGAAAACATGAACAAAATACCACTAATCAACCTTGAATTAAGATAAATACCCAAGGAATTATTTACATAACGATCCTTATGAAAAGAACTTTAGACAACATAAATTACCCAAAGAGAAAAAACCCACATCTATTAACCCATAGTGAGTACTTGTTTAAATATCCGCAATACAAAAATGCATTCCTGCTCCACATTTAAAGCAAATATTTTGAAGCCAAAAGAACGGTTATCTCACACTACTTTCAAATATTCAATGGAATTCCTAAATATCAAAATTTCATATTTTACCCTAGAACTCCAAATACACCATAAAAGAACAAAACTATTTTGTACAATAACAACATCAAACTTTTATCCCACTATGTGGAGTCAGCTAACAAAAAAAAATTCAAAGAGAAAATATGGAAATATTTTAATCAAAATTTGTTATCTTCAACATCAGATGAACTCCATCAAATGTACGAGACTGATAGCTTAATGTAATAATCCATGGGGAACACAAATATCATTTCGTTTTGAAATTTAGAATCAATCTTCAAAAAAAAAAAAAAGAGAAAAAGAGAGCAAATCAGTAATCCTCAATGCTCGTATTCTGAAACTAGATAAAAATTGATTTAGCATCAGCTAGGTTCTCTCTTAACAGAATCAACGGCACTCATGATCACAAAAAGCTCCTCTTTGCCAGAAGATAGATCCACTTCCTAGGTTAAGTGGTTGTTTCTTTTCATTAGTAGACTGTGTATAGTATTATTAACTAGGAGATACCTATTATAACACAAGCAATGAATGCGATTCTGTTTGGTTGTTATTAAGCCTTGAGATTATGGTACTAGAAAAGTTTGGGATCCTTTTTACTTTCTGTTTTTCATGTTTGTTATAACAAAATGGAAAGGTGAAAAAACACATTTCCCTGAAATTACTCATTTTCTGTTCCTAAAAATAAAATAGTTTTGTTCCTGATATTTACTCATTACAAAACATTGTTTTGGTAAATCAGATGGCTATCAACATAAAAAACCATAACTACTTAATGATGTCAATAAAAATTATAATTCTAGTTTATTTTCTAACGTTATTTAACAAAAATACAAAGCAGCAGTTCAAATAAACCCGTCTACTATAAAATATTTAGTCAATATATAGCTCACTTTAATTTCATGCTTCTACAATTTAATAACTAATGCCCGAAATAATTACATAGCAAATCTATAGTAATATTAATTATTAGAAATATGTTATATAATTTATTAATACAAATATACTAATTTAAACTAGCTCAAGACAAACAAAAAATTTTCTTTTCATATTAAAATAATTAAATGTTAACTAGAAAACTACATGATAAAACTGAATAAAAATATTATGTTATTATTTAAAATACTATAATTTTTTCATGCTACTTAAAGATATACTTATCATATAGAATCTGATTATTTTCAATGGGGTTTTGTGTACACAAATTATGAATTTATAATATTATTAAATTTTAAAATGTTTGAAACAACCTAAAATTATTAAGAATTTGAATGGTTAGTTGCGTAATTTACTTAATATGTTTATTAAAATATAAAAAGTTGGCTTAGAACTTCAAAAAAAATATTGATTTTGTTTCAATTTCAATGCAAGCTACTATACATATTCATGCTTTTTTAAAGACCACAGGGAAAAAAATTAAAATAGGAATATAACAAAAACAAAGCCCATATGGAACATAGTATTCATGAAGCATCGTGGCTTTTGCCAAAACAAGCTAGGATGAAAGAAAGGAGCAAATTGAAACAAATAAAAATGCTTATTATTCCCAATATGGTCAAAGTCTTGACATGCTTAAATGCTCCTCAAACACAAAATAACACAAAAGTAAGAGCAACAAGGTACGTTTTGATTGTCTGAGAAATACCTTCTGTTGGTACTTTAGATCTCCAGACCTCTGAGATAGAACTATGAATTCAAGTTGCTCAGTTCCAGAGTCTGCAAGGATACTATCACCCTGTGAAAAGCAACAGATGCATTCCAGAAGCAGTTCATATTTTATTTGGGAATACGAAGGCATAAAAAATAATAATAATAACTGATGCCAAACCGTCAAAGCATGTCCCAGAAATTAGTAGGGATGGCATATAAATATCGTTCACACTAAATATCACTGTAAATTGATCTCGATGAGCCATGAAAAACTTATACAGGTAGCAATTTTAGGAACCTTTCACCATTGTAAGTTTCTAGCACCTCAAGCACTAGAACGAAGCAACACCAAACAGCTTATGTCCCAAGTAAATTCAACTAAATATAAGCCTACTAGTAGCTCCTTCTTTAAGCTTCAATACAACTTTCAAGTGTCCTTTTTTGTTTATCTTTAATTTTTTGACTTGTTATATGACATTCGTTGGGATAAGGCTAATCATGACAATGATTTGGCAAATGGGTTGCATTTCTGATAAAAGGTGTTAAGCTCTTGAGATTTCTGCTAATTTTTCTCTTTCGCTATTATTCTGAAAGCTCCATGAAATTTTTTTTTATAATTTTCTTTCTTTCTCTATTATTCAGAAAGTTCCATAAAATAATTTCTAGGATTTTCTTCTTTCATCACAAACACAACAAATAACCCTTCTCCTAACTCTTTATTTTTACCTTCTTCAGTATCTTAATACTCTGTTTTTTAGTAATGTTGCACTTGCCTCTACCTGAATTGTGTAGTATAAAGTGTAGCTAAACATATTATTCTTACATGCATATTATTATTATCAACTTATCAAATAAATGATATGAAATATATGTTCTTTGGGTAAGCTATAAATTGGAAATTATTGTTTAAAGATGTAATGTGTTACAATTTAAATTATTTTATTATGATAAATTTTTATAGATATTTGTTATGAAAGTATGGTAATGTTCATACTTTGTGGAAACATGGTTCGATATGGATTAACAAAAAGTCAATAGCTGGAAATTGAAATCATATTTCAAAAAGGGGTGCCTTGCCTCTCACTTTTTTCCTTCCACTTTTCTCAATTTTATGTCACCTCCTTCCCATTGTTTTAAATCAATCTGTTCCCTCTTCCTCTTTCTCACTCGTTCTATTTTATCTTTTTATCCACTCCTGATTTGTCTCAAAAAGAAGGGCAGCGAGGAAATAAAGATGAGTCGGGAGGTATAGGCCAAAATATATAAAAGAAGGGTTTTCTTAAAAGATTGAGAAAAGGGAATGTCATGAGCAAAAACTGCAATTTCATTTGCTCGTTGTTGACGTTACACTCAAGAACAAAATGTTTAGGCCAAATAAAACACAAAGCTTCCATACAAAATTCTCCCCAACACCCCCCACAGCTAAAAGAATTTTGTAATAACAAATCTAGCATAATTCCATAAAGTTACGCAGAATGATAGGAAGGGAAGTTTGGTTGGCAATTTCAAACTCATGACAATGGAACTTAAAAGTACTTTTCAAAAACCTTTTGATTTTTTTCCAAGCTACCTTTCTAAGGAATCATTATATAAATTTATAATTTTCTTCAAACCCAGAGGGGTGATAGATCTTTGAGACTTTGACTTGGTCCAAAATTCTAATTCTTATTAATATTTTGATTCTCATTATTTATTTCCCAAATCATGACCATTGACTTTTCTGGACCTAATTCCCAAAATTATAAGGTATCACAGTTTTGGAGGATTAAAATCCCATTTAATATGAGCTTACGATGGGAGAAGTGGATATACTAACTTCTTTCCTGAAACAATCTTTCCCAAGATAAAACCTTGCAAAGGCTTTGAAGAGAGAGCCAAAAAAAGATCTTTCGTGTATAATCCTGCATAATCTCGAATGTTATCAGTTTTGGTACGTAGACCAAATGATACAATGGAAGCAAAAGTTCCTAGATTCATGGAGATATAGGACACAACATATAAGTTATCATGCCAACCAAGACCCCTCATTTGAATGGTCGTCTATCATATCTCTCCTTCCAATTATGTTGACGGTTTTACACTTTTACCATTACTTTCCACTTTATAACCTTTTAAATAATTTCTAGACAACTTCATCCATATGTCATATGTATTTTTAGATAAATTGAAAGTATTTTAAGGTGGAACCTATCCTTGAAAATAAACCAAAGAAAATGACCTCTTCTTTAAAAAATGATTAGACATACTAATGGAGCATAGAAATGGGTAAAACCATCACCCTAGGTCACATGATTTTTGCATTGTAGCTTTTTGAAGGTAAATCATCATGAGATTGATGACTTTGATCTTTTTTAATCTGAGGGTAAAATATTGAGCTCCTCTTAAGTCTTATACTATTATGTTCAACAAGCATATTTAGAAATTGATGAGGTGGCTATCCCAATCTGAGGAAACTAACTTAGGCATTTGGGACATGCCCAAACTTCCTAGAGTTAGTTTGCATATTTACTAGTTCATGTATTCCTGACTTAGAATGTTGGATTAAGACCATTATATTTGAAATCTTACTGATCACAACAAAAAATAATCATAGTCTTTCTAGATCTATGGCAATCTTCCATGGAATTCCATGGAGATATTCTCTCATGAACATATTGCACCTAAAAGTATATGGAAAATCTAAGTTTCATACCCAACGACTACGACGAATTGCATAGAACAACACATATTATTCACTTCTTGTTTCATAATAAGTCAGTATACATAGACCCAAAAATTTTTCAATGACCATTGAAATTGACGTGACCTTCCACCTCACACAAAGACCAGTTTGATTGCACAAACAAGAGAGAACTGGGCAAGTTATACCACTTTGGCTATTTAATAGATAAATGCAAGTGTAAAAAAACAAAAAGTATTTGCTTCCGAAAGCAATGCATTAAGATCTACCACTTGACTTTCGCTTCAAATGCTCTAAAACTGCTCGAAAGTGATTATATAGGTAACTTGCTCACCTCTCTACAAAATTAGTTCAAACACATGCAAATTAACATCATATTTAGCCTTATCCAAATTATTTAGAGTAGGCTTTATGAATCCTTATTCTTCATTCACTTTTGATCAATTCCCACGAGGCTTCAAGCCTACTCTACATAAATCTCTTTGCACAACTTCTATTTATGATATAGCTTTATAGTATACTCATTTTCTTTCACCAAGAATTTTATCTAAACCAATTTATAGATGCATTTGTACTCCCATCATCTTTCATTCTATATTTCTTAGTTCAGAAGTTCATCTTGACATTCCTATATTTTTTCACGTTTACTTAACAATAATTAACTTTTTATTGTAAAACAATTGGATCAATCAACAACATCGGTTTAATTATTTTTATATAAATTTATTACTTAGTTTAGTCTATGTGACACGTATAAGTTGTGGATATTGTTGCTATTGTTGTTACTTCATAACATTTTAATATCATAAATAGATAACAATAAACATAACTTTTTACATACAATACATGGTGAAGTTTTGTATATCATATAAAGTATATAAGCTACAATATCATAATACTTTTGTAAGTGACTATATGCAAGTTCATGCTTATATATAGATAGATTAAGATGAACACATTCATAGGGTCAGTTATTTACTGGTTACCATAAACTGCGCAACCAAGAAAAAATATTAAGTAGAAAATTTCCTAGCAAATGATCAAATGACATTCTTAAAAGTGGAGTATGCTATCCCACTATGTGGGGCCAGCTACATGAATCCTAATTCTTCATTGTGTAATGTTAAAAGTTAAATTCTCATTTAAATCTAATAAAGAAAAGTCATTTCTAATATTTTCTAAGTCTTTGTAGGTATACTTTTATCTTTCTTAACATAAGTCAAATCTAATACATCTACTCTCTAACCAGGTCATCGAAAGGCCACCATTTCATGTGACCAAACCATCTAAGGTAACTCTCTCTAATCTTATCTTCCATTGGAGATACTCCAACCTTTTCACGTATATGCTCTATTCGTATCCTGTCTCTAAGAGTAAAGCCAATCATCCACTTAAGCATCCTCATCTCTGCAACACTTAACTTAATATTATGCATCTCTTTTAATGGACAACATTCTGCACCATAAAGTATTGCAAGTCTAATCACCATCTTATAGAATTTTCCCTTAAGTTTGAGGGGAATTTTTCTATTACACAACAAGCCCTATGCATTCCTCCACTTCAACCATCCAACTTGAATTCTACTAGTAATATCCCCATTTATTTCACCATCACTTTGAACAATAGACCCAAGATATCGAAAATGTAAATGAATTTTTTATCTTGTAATAGCATTCCTTGCATCAACTTCAAGTTCAAATGATCACAAAATTTTTGGCATTGGTAAGACAAATGACCTTTCTTTAGGGGAAAAAAATGCCCGCACAAAATAAGGCAACGGTGGTGCTTTAGCGCTTCAGGGAATTGTGAAGCCCAACCTAAGTACCTTGTACCTTAAATTCTAAAAATGCGAGTACCTCAATTGAACAACAAGGCAAACCATGCAAGCATTATTTTTCCCTAAGTTGGCTTGCAACCGCAGATCATTTTTTGACCCACTAAATAGATATATGCTGCGTATTATAATGCACAGAGTGTAAATTCACCATAAATTTAATCCTATGACTTTGTGATCAATTTCCCTTTTACATTTTAGGAAGAGAAATAAAGCAACCACATTCACTCAGTTCTCTTTCTCATTCATGCAAATTTGTGATCCAAATTCGGGGCTCCACTTCCTTTATTGTTAGGGGCAGCAAATTACTCCTTTCACTTATTTTTCGTCAACTACTACAATTGTTTCCATTATTTTCCCTGTTCTAGTATTTTTTAAATAACACAATATATAATGTGCATTTATGATATTGTGCAGCTAAATTCCGACTATATCATTTTTTTCATTTTATTAATACTTGTGAACATGACCGTATTTTCTAAATTTTATATCTAAATGCAAATGTAAAATTTGCTACATAGATAGCCAACACATGCATCAACCCTTTGCTTTGGAACCATTACAAAAAGATAAACTGCACAGGAAGCTGCTTTGTCCAGTGAAAAAAGTAAGCACTATGTATCTGCGTATAAGAGAAATGAGAATTCTTTCACAAATTGCTATCAATCTCCATCTGGATCATTCTCACATCATCTTGAGTTTTCCACGACCCGTGTAGATCTCCCGGCTTCGAAGCTAGGGAAAGTAGGTGTCCTCCTAAACTCACATTTTCAGTACAGGTAAAGTTGGTTTTTGTTGCAGCACAAAGACAGGTGATCTTCCAAGCAAGATAAAAAATTAGAAAATTTTGAAGGTATACTGCCACTAAGTTGTTGAGGTAAAGTTGCAATATATCATTCATCAACCACATAAATTAGGTAAGGATGTTTCAAGATTCTGAATGGTATGCCTATTCACTCAAACACACCTTGTCTTCGTTTAAAAGTTATCATAAATGTGTCTTCTTCCCAAAACTAATTTTGGCGGTAAATCAATTTCAAGTCCAATTTGGTGAACATTGTTGCATGCTTCAACTGATCTAGAATTTTTTAAACCTTGCCAAGGGAGATCTTTACCATTATTGTGCTGAGGTTCATAGCCAACACGCATGTTGGACCCTCCAACTTGTTTTGGAACCATCCGAAAGAATGTTTTGCACAAAGTTGCTTTATATGTGAGCTTATTGACCATATATGTGGCTAATCTTAATTTCTTCATACTATACCGCCGAGCTTTGTTGGATATCAATCTTGAAGAAATGCATGTATTAGGAAGGAATGATTTCTTATTAGGAGACATGTCCAAAAAAAATGAAATAACTTCAGTTTAATTGAAACCAAATGAGCCAATCCTTAATTTCGTTGGACTTAAAGTTTAATTCAGTCTATCCCATTCTAATGTTTCGTAATCTCACCTTATATTGTCTTGGTAGTTTGCATTGACTTCTCGTGACCTCATCCACAAACCAATCAACTATACTGGCCAAGCTAGGAAACCCTTTTGGTTCTAAAATGTATGGGAAATGAAAAAGCTATCATACATATTTAGGTTTTTGAATGTGCAAGTGTCATAAACAATAAAGACTGTTCATTATGCAAATTGGTATATACTCAATCTTCATTCAAAGTAAGATAATAAACTTTTTGAATGACTAGCTATAATATTTAAGAAGAAAATAAGGAATACTAAAAGGAATATAAACAAGAGATGTACTTTGCATCAATTGTAAGAGATAACTAAAAGCATCTATGGGAAACAAAAAGCTTCAATGCCTCTTGTACTCCAGATAAAAAACAGCAATATCAAACTTTATCAAGAACCCTAGATGGAATTTCAACGCTGCTCCAAAAACCTCATCTGGTCCTTTGACATTCAACTCTGAACTGCATCAAAATTTTCAAGCCTATCTCAATCAGGTACAACAAATTAACACTCACCCACCCACCTTAAAATTATTCTTGGCTTCTTCGTGAATTTTTCAGCTCTAGTTTTGTCAAAGTAGTGTGTGACAATAGTTTAGATTCAGGATGAATCAACATAAAGATAAAATGCAAAGTATTCCAATTTTTTGCCAGCTTAGATGAAAACAAAAAGCATCTCTCTCATCATGACAGTGAACATATCAAAACTACATTTCAAACAGAATCAGCAAAGCCACTTCATCTATGTCAAAATAGTCTTATTTATTAATTGAACTTGAACTCAATATGTGAAAAAGAACATCATTCTGAAAAACAAAAATTAACTGAGATTTCAAAGCCCATGTTTATACTTTTGTTTCTATCAGCATGTATGCCTTGCTAAACTAAGTTTTGCCATGGGTCCATTGAGAAAGCTAAAGGGTATTTCTTTTCAAGTTACATCTTTCATTTAATGCATACCTAGCTTGCATAAGAAAAATTGAGAGTTGATGTTAGGTTGAGAGTCAAATGTAAAAATCAATAAAAATGAATCCAAAGATGATGGAAAATTGCATGCATAATCAAGGAAGCATTGATTACAATAGCAGAATAAACCACTACATTAAATTTAGCATTGTAAGGACAAGTTGATACAAAGTCGACGTAAAATAAGGTAAATTCATTGTAGCATGAGAACTGAAAAGGTAGGGAGAGGGAAATTAGTCGACGAAAGCACGCCTTAGGAAAAAGAAAGAAAGGAGTAGTAGAAACCTTCATTTAAAAAAAACAAACAAATTCAAAAATATCAAAAGTAACCTAAAAATAATTTTTCATGTTGCATCACAAGTATGATGTCATATGGTTCAAATTGAAGTAACAAGAGTTGAAGACAATCTAACCATTATTGTATGAAGAAACATATAGGACATTGAAGAGAAATAGCAGGCTACTATGTTGAATTTAAACTAGAATTAAAAAACAAGTGGATAACAGAAAAAGACATGATTTCCTGATTTTATTTCGTGCTAGGCCAAGTTAAAAACTAAAGCAATAGTAGTATGCCTGCTAAACATAAAGTCACATAAGAAAGTAGTGATGAGTCATAGTTAAAATATAAGGGTTGAGTCTTTGTAGGTAGTGCTTGAAACTTACCCCTGCCCATCCAAAATTATGAGGATTTCCATGAGCTAAATTAATTCGATTGTAAGGAATTCCTGTAGGAGTATTCCAAGCAGGAAGCAACCTGTCACCGATGTCTCTCGCCTTCTCAAGAAATAATGAATCCCCAGAGAGATCGTAAGCACTAAGTAGCCCACCAACAACTCTAGAAATCAATGTACAGACATGAGATGGATATAAATAATGAATTTCTAGAAATCTATGAGATAACTAACCCTCTGCACGTCTAATAATGTTAGATGTATAAACATACTACCGCAAAAGTTTAATATATATCTCTCCTTAGGAATGGAAGACTAAGAACTTGAAATATTAAACCTTGTAGAGCAACCTTATGGTCGTTTCAAATACACTTGCTTCATAGTTCTTGTTAAAGTCCAAGGAATTCGCAACCCATCTGCCAAGAAAGAAAGAAAATCTCATACCAGATCCATAATTGTAAAACTTATAGAACTGCAGATTAATCATTTCTGCAACTATGAACTACACAAATGATTATCATGCATCTGTTGAATAAAGGGACACTTACTGTACCAATGTACAAGCATTTAAAATTAAGCATTGCGAAAATAATACTTGCTACGTATTACAGTATTTTTAAGAAAAATATTGGAAATATGTTAAAGAAATACATGGAGTACAACAATTTCATTAAAAAAACCAATAACCCCTAATAATGACCACTAAAGTAACCAGTAGCAAAGCATGCTTTTTTAGTATGTCAATGCAACTCATGAAGAAAAAACATTAACAAGAAAGATGAAGAAGCAACATTATCTTTAGTTCATTATCAATAATATACCGGATCATGTAGCACATAAATGAAAAGAAGAATGTAAGGTAAGTTTTCTACTCACTCTCTAGCCTTTTCGAATTGATCCTTTAGGCCCATTATGTACAACGTATCAAGGGAGTCCAAAATGGTCGCTCCAAGACCACCAAAGGAGTTCACGCCATTCTTTGATTGTGGCTGGTAAATGAAGAAAATATTATATCATTAAGTGAATCTTCATGAAAAGATAAAAAGAACAGGAGCTCATAAAGACGGAAGCTCCAATATATAGTTAAACTCTTTTTTCCTCGAACTGATATCATATACAACAAACCTGAAGTTCATCTTGACCCCAAGCATACTTCTCATAGGAATTCCAGGCATGAAGCATAGCCTCTTTAACCTTTTCACGCCGTTCATTGTCAAGAGGGTCAGAAACAAATATTTTGTCATTGATTGATTTACCATTCCCATGGATGGTATATTCACCAGAAGGTACAGATTGTCCTGGTCTTTCCAACTACATTTGAATGAAAAGCTTCAGCAGCAATCAAGACAATTAGCTTGAGAAAAAGTAAGAAAGCACAAACAAGCCAGATACCATTTCTTTCAAGCTCTTAATTTCTCCCTTAAGTCGATAAATTTCATCCTGCACATTTAGAAATTAGAAGAAAGTATAAGACTAGCTAGTTCCTGGCTATTTAAATTTGTTGCAAATATCTTAAAAACTTCTCTTACGGCTGGAAAATTTTATCTTTTGACAAGAAAAGAGAGAGAAGGTCATCAAATAGATTTTCCAATACATTTTCGCCTAAATATGAAAAGAAAATCTAGATCAACGCCAGGGGATTTCACAATTTTTTCTCGCTGACGTTGACAAAGAAAATTTAAGTACAAACCTAACTTCCACTTTAAAAAAGTAAAAATTATTATCAAAATTTTGCAAGGCGCCATAGGCAGGCTTCCTGTCATTCACCAACCAATAAACAGTAAAAGAATGAAATTCATCATTTTTAGCCCTGTTCTATTCGATCGTCGCCGGAATTCTATCAAGTAAAAGAAGCAGATATAAGAGAGAAACCAGAAAAAGGAATCATGGCATATACATCATGCTCTCGGAGGAGGTTCTGACGGTCCCATACGGCGAAGCTCACAATCACGAAAGCAACCACCGCAAGGCCGAAGACTCGAACCCAAGGCCTCTTAGTTGGAAGCATAAGCTCTCAACCAACAGGCCAAGGTGAGCTGTGTTATAAATTAATTGTTGTACGATTAGAATATTTTTGACATATTTATACAAATCTAGAAATATATATATATTATTTCATTGTATTATCAGCCTTAACATTTTAATCATAAAAAACTAAATTGTATTTATTTTAAAATTAATTATATGTTATTTAGTTTTTAAAATTCCTAAAAACATTTATAAAAATAAAAAAATTAAAAACTCTAATCTAAAATATTATATCCGAATATTTTAAATGTGAATTTTTGGATTAATTTAAAATTATAAATAATTTATTAAAATTTAACATATAAAATTTGCAAAATAATAAAAGCTAAAATAAAAACCGATTTAAAAATAAAATTTTTATGAATTTTGAATTATAAGATTTTGATCCATTTAAAAGACGGTGAGAAGCAGAAAATGCAAATGAATAGAATTTTGTCTTATGCTGAATTTGCATGAGTGGAATAGGCATATTAGATGAAACATTTACATTTTAATAAATATTTGCGGGCTGAATATAAGCGACGTTAGAGTTTGCAAAATCACATCTGAGCGTTGCACGAATATTCAGCACACAAACAGAAAAGAAAATGAACACCAAGATTTTTACGTGGAAAACCCGAAAGAGGGAAAAAACCACGGGGCCACTCCTAGTTGAAAAGTCTCACTAGTGTTTTTGTAAATTACAAGAAGCTGATTCGTCCCACAAGTCAGGACGATTAGATTACAATTCGTTTCTTCCAACTTGAAACAAATTTACAAAATTCCGCAGAATTCAGGCGTCTCCTGAAAATCCGTCAGAGTTCCAGCATATTCAGGCAGCGGAAAGAACTCCGGCGGTAGTCGAGGAGGAGATGATTCTCCCTTTCCCGTTCTTCTCTTCTCTTCTTCTCTCTCTTTTCACTTGAGTCATCTTGTGAAGAATGAAGGCTATATTTATAGTTTTTTATGGAGTGGCATGGCTTGTAAATAGGTGTGAGATCATGGGCGAATAGGGAGTTGTCGAATGGATGGCCGATATTGAATCCTTCGATCGTGCACCGTTCGTTGGACATTTGAAGGCCTTAGTGATGTCGGAATTTGCCGATCTTGTGCTCGTTGGATTTTTCCCGCCGAGCCGTTCGATTCGAGCATAAGCTCGTCAAAATCAGAGACCGTTTGGTAATTCAAATTGTGGTTTGAACCTTCCAACAGCGCTTCAGGTCCTTGATTTGGACACATTTGGGCTCGGATTGGGTTGAATTTGGTGTCATTGGGTTCGTATTTCCGAGACACTCAGTTTGACTGTAAGCTTGCTGAAAATTGAAGTTCAAGTGCTTCCGGATTTAATTTTTGAAGTTTCCGGGTTGAGTTTTTCCTCGAGATTCGTGTCCGATCAAGATTATTTCATGATGATGTATCAATGAATATTAAAATTTATTGGACAAAATGTTCGTATCATATTTAAAATATAATGCTTCCAACAATTTAATGTGCTGAAAATATAATATGTTGAAAGTTTTTTTTTTTTTTGAAATTTAGGGGAATATTTGGAAAAGTGAAATTGTTAATTTTTATATGAAGCCAAAGTAAAAAAAATTTCTTTTCTAATTGTCAAATCCGAACACTTTAATAATTTAATAAATTAAAATAGTTAAATGACTAAATTTTACAAACAAAAATAGAGATATGAGATTAAAATAAAAATAGTTGGAGAAAAATTTGACTATTTCGTTTAAAAATAGTTGTGCTTCCAAACAACCAGCATTAACTGGTTTTGTTGCTTCGAACGGAAAACGGTCAAAGTAAGCCGAATCAAACGAGGCCTTGGTAATCCAAATTAAAATTAATATGGTATATGAAACTGATTTTGATTGTTTTTTTAAAATTTAAATTTATTTTCAGATTAATTTAATATAAAAATTAATTTCATTATTCATATAATTTATATATCTAAAAATAAGTTTAAATGTTTTAATTTATCCCACCAAGTTTTAATCTGAATATTACCAATTTCCATCAGTCATTTTGGCAGGAAAAAATAACTAAGTTCTTCTGTTATTTTAAGATTTTTATCTATTTTAGTTAATTAAAGAAAATGGAATACAGTTTCTTTTCAATAGTCAAATTAGCACTGTGCTATGTAAAGCTATTGTAAACTATCACAACAGGCCTGCTATTATCCATAATGAAGCTCAAGATGGAGCCGTTATTACGTCCTCCGACCGGATGCAGAGGAACATCCGTCGTAGGCACAAATATCGCTATCCGAGGTGTACGAGTTTTTTTTGGAAAACTCGATACACCTCGGTTATAGGCGGGATTTTGCCTACAACCGGATGTTCCTCTGACATCCGGTCAAACCGAACACAAATAAAAGTTCTCAAGATGAGGTTTCGTTTGAGACTATTTTCTTACTCTTTTCTAAAGAATCTTTTTTAATACAAAAAATTATGGCTTTATTATTTAGCATCCTCCTCTATCTATCCAGCATTATTTGAATGGACTGATAGGCTTAGAACTCTGCAATTGTGTTGTATTATGTTTTCACTTTATTATTTCTGAGTAAACTAAGACGTTAGAGGATGGTTTTGAATTAAGACCACACTCAACAAAGAGGTAAGAGGAAAGATAACTCACCAAAGAGATAAGAGTATGGGGTGAGATAGGGATAAAGATGACTTGAGAGTTTAGCAATGAAAAAGCTCTGAAATCATGATTATCAAACAATAAAAGGAGGCGTATTTACCTAGAACAAAAAAATTGGCAAACGATACAATATAAAGGGCGTCTCCAACTGAAAATACACAATCCATTTTCAAAAATGTCCGTAGTTCATCTCCATTTGAACTTTATTTTCTTTTTTTAATGTGTTCTTCTTTTTTTTTATGAGTGTATCAATTTCTTTGAGAAGGTAACGCATCACTCTCACTGTTTCGATAATTGTTTATCCCTCGAGTCAAAAGCAAAGTGTGAAGTAATCACTAATTTTTTTTATTTATTGACGTAAGAAGAAGAAAACATCTGACGCCAAATCTTGGCTTCGACAGTCCTAATGTTCACTCACCAATTATATTGTCGTTAGATTTGAAGTATTGAATGCACTATTCGCAACGGCATACAATGATATGCAAGGTTGAGATGATTAGAACCACAAAACCATTATGTATATATAATTTAAATTTTATACATTTGCATGAATACTTATTGGAAGTTTATTATAGAAAACTACTATTTTATAAAGTTCATCTTACATACAAATGGTTTTTCTTAAAAACAAATACATTTTGATATAAAACAATGGCACATCATCATACTTTTTAATGGAATACTTAGAGCGAAAAATATTTTTGAAATTATTTTCATCATATTTCGCCTTGATTTGCTATCTTTGTCGTGCTCATGACATCAAGATTTACAAATTTATATATCAAATTATCAATCGAAGATATCGATGATGATCATCATCATCATATCACCATTAATGATTACCTACATCACCTCAAGGATGTTAGCATTCGAACAATTCATGAAGAAACTTTTTAGATATGAGAAAAATATATTGAGTTTAGATTGAGAGGTTCCAACTTTCTAATAATCTATTGACTTGGCAAACATTTCCACATAGAGCTATTAACAAAGCTCATTGAGAGCTAGTTCGTTACAATCAAGCTCCTTTTAACACCATAGCCTTGCGTTTGCCAAATTTGCCCATCATCCCTTCAATGGGGAAATTATTCTGTGCGGACCCCGAACATAAAGGATTGTCCGGATGCTACGTATGAACTGAATATGGACTGCATATTTATAGATATATAAAAAAATACTTATTAAATACTCAATAAATACTCACAACTAATGATTGACTTAATACTTTCTTCAAATCTACAAATACTTAGTTCATACGTAGTCCATACACAGCATCCGAACGATCCTCTACATTCAGAGTCCGCACAGTACGTTCGGAGTCCGCACAGAATACTTTTCCCCTTCAATGAGCCTAAAAGGAATATAAAGTCTCCCAATAAATACTTAGTTTTTTCACAGCTTGAGCAATAAAATTTGTGAACAGAATAACATTTGTCCCATGGGATAATACAACAGGCACCTAAACTTAGTGCAGGTCTACAAATTATATGCTTAAAAATATAATGCGCAAAATCTATTTTGTTTGGGTCTGTGCTTGCTTCTCAGCATATAAGATGCCGGAGGAAACAGAGAGAATTCAAGAGGCGTCGATATTTTATTGCAGCAACAAATATTACATTTGCATGCAAGCAGCCATTACAAATTCACACCAAGGGCAAGAAAAGGAACTGTGAAAACAGGGGAAAATCCTCGAATCTAATTCTCTGATATGTATATCACAAAGTTAAGCTTAAGTGTTCTAAAATGATCACATGAAAAACCTAAGAAGGGTGAACGCACAAATAACAACAAGAAGTTGCAACACTTCTAATCAATGTGAGATTTCCTGACCGTTAGAGGGAACTGCTGCTGTCGGTTGCCCAGTTGCAGTAGCTCCTTCCTAAGAAGCATAGGAGAATCCAAATTCAGTATGAAGGAAAGAAATCAATCATGATTTAATAAATGTTATTGCCAAACTAAGGCTTCTTTTAGGATGACTTTCTTTCTGCTTCTCAAAGAAGCTTAGCATCAAAATTTTAATTATTTACTAAAAAGCTGCTTTATGAAGCAATAAGAAAGGCGTCCCAAACGAAGCCTAATTCACATGATAGAAGAGTTTAGACTGCCTACCCCATCCTTTGACTCCAAGGTTTGGTGCTGAAAGGTTACAGGAGATTTAGAGAGATCCCTCAGTGTACCCTGCAGGAGATATGAGATCAAAATATATTAGAATTCAATTATACTACGCGGCAAGTCGAGCCATAACAGCCCTTTACTAGTTTCCAGCAGTAAATCAATATATGAAAAGGAAACTAGAACTGGTTAGATTTGATGGAATTAGAGAACTAATTGTGAATTTAGACTTCGTTTTGGACGGCTTTTTTACGGCTTCTTAAAGCAGCTTTTTAATACAAAAATTTTAATTTTTTACTAAAAAACTGCTTTAAGAAGCCGTACGAAAGCTGTCTCAAACGAAGCCTTAATTAAAAAAAAAAAAATTCTAACTTGCCCTTATTGATATGACACACCAAAACCAACTTAGTTCAGCGATAGTTCCTGATCATACCAATATTAAAGTACCACTACAAATAGGTAATTTTCACAATGGCGAAAATTCACAAATCTGCGAGCAATATCAATCGCAAATGTTTGGAATTAATCACAACATCACGAAGAAAGAAAATCACACAACTCGGTTAAGCAAGAAAATCATCAGAAGACCTTGAAGAAAAATTCAATGTTTTATTTACAGGGCAGCTAGTTTTGTGCTCAAGGGTAAAATAACTGGAGATTTGTATTGCTCTCAGGAACCCTTATATGTGTTCCCAAACTGAAGCGAATCCAATCGCATACAGGACGCCATAAACACGTTAAATCCTTGTGTTCATTGGCATAAATCTTCTCAACAACAACAATAACAAAATCAAGCCTCTATCCCACTACGTGGGGTCGGCTACATGAATCATTTTTCTCCATTGTGTCGTGTTAAGAGTCAAATTCTCATTTAAATTTAAAATAAAAAATACCATTTCTAATATTTTCTAACAAAGTATGTTTAGGCCTACCTCTATCTTTCTTAATATAGGCAAAATTTAATACATCTACTTTCCTAACCGGGTCATCGAAGGCCGCCGCTTTATGTGACCAAACCATCCAAGGTGACTCTCTCTAATCTTATCTTCCACTGGAGCTACTCCAACCTTTTCATGTATATGCTCATTTCGTATTCTGCCTCTAAGAGTAAAACCACTCATCCACCCGAGCATCCTCATCTATGCAACACTTAACTTAATATTATGCTTCTCTTTTAATGGCCAGCATTCTGCGTCATAAAGCATTGCAGGTCTAACCACCTTCTTATAGAATTTTCCCTTTAGTTTGAGTGGTACTTTTTTATCACACAACAAGCCCGATACATTCCTCCACTTCATCCAGCCAATTTGAATCTACTAATAATATCCCCATCTATTTCACCATCACTCTGAACAATAGAGCTAAGATATATAAAACGTGTACTTTTACAAAAAACTTGATCGCTCAAAGTCACAATCCCCCCACTAGATCTATTACTACAAAAATTACACTCAATGTATTTGGTTTTACATCTACTCAAACGAAAACATTTAGACTCTAAGGTTGACTTCCATAATTCAAGTTTAAGGCATAAATCTCCTCATTGTAACAAAACTATAAATAAAAATGTGCATGCTTCATATGTATTATACTTGACACATTTTAGAAAATATGAATGTACGTTCAGAGAAGCAATAAGGTGCTGGCTCACAAAGTTGGCCAAGAAAATCAAGCACAAGGGAAAAGCATAAAAACCCAGTTTATTTGGAAGCATCCAAAAGTTGGGGTTTATTTGTTTGTATGAAATTACATCTTGCAATCTGCCCCCTTATGATTGAGCGTTAAATGTTTATCCCGCAAGCTACGAAGTTCAAGGAAGGGCACAATTATGCTACGGCACTCAACTTAAGAAAATACTTCTTGCCAATTCAGCATAAATTTAAAATATATTTTCCGTGTCAATTAATATATAAATAGTATAATTAATTAAAAATTTAACAGTCCAATAAAAGCTTAATTAGATAAGATTAATTATATTTGATTAATCTATAGCTAATTAGAATAATTTCTTATACTAACATGTTATTACTAATTAATTAAACTAATTAATCCCTTGTTAGATTAATTAATCACTCTCTCACTGATTAGAGAAAAATATAATTCTACTTATCAATTAAAGATTAATTCACCTTAATAATTAGGTTAAGTAAATATCATAATAACAAATTAATTAATATTTAAGAGTACATTATTTTTACCGTTATGACTAATATTTTTTTCTATATTTTAACAATTAATTAGCCTAAACAATCATAATCCTCATTAATTTATTAATTATTCATTTAAAGACATTATTATCCTAGGCAGTAATTATTGGCATTCATCTAATTAATCCCTAATTAACTTAATTAATGAGATTAATTAGATGCCCTAATTATTTTAATCACTAATTTACTAGCATAATAAATATTAAATTAGAGCTATAAACTTCTTTGCCCTCTCTACGTTCCCATGACTGTTGTGCACACTGCCGACACCCCGCATCTATGGAGCATGAGACAGGCACGGCCGGCTATAGGCACCAAGAGTGCCTGTGTCCGCCAATAAGTAGCAAAAAAATTATTTAATAACTAAGCATAATTTTCCATAAATTTTGCAAAATTAATAAACAATTAATCCAAAAAATCACTGCTTAGAGTAATTTAACATAATAATCATGATTATAATATTTAACTTTTTAAAATCATTCATTATGTTCAAAACTAAAAATGAAGGTGCCTTCCAAAATCTCACGTGAGTTGACAGAGTTCCAAGAAAATAAGAATATGCTAATCCACTTTCGATTAAATAGTTGCTTAAATTTAACTCTAGAATTGAGATTCAAAAACTTCCAAAATCTCTAACATAAAAATCAAATGATCATAAAAGTTTCACAAAATCACATTTAAATGTTATGCACATGAATAATCAAACTTTAAGGATTTTCTTACAAGCAAAGAGAAGATTCTACCTTGTTTGCCCACATAAGCCCACATGCATTACATAATGTCCTTGGTCCATCAGGACCACGACGCATCATTGGCGTATCTTTTGCACTAATGTGGCAATGATAGCACCTGAGAAACACCAAAAAGACGCATAGAAAAACAATTAAACATTCCCTCAAATATGTAGATTCAAAGCCAAAAGTGCAGCATCACTACAAAGCTTACGCTGATGCAGTTTGGGGCTGGCCATTCTCTGCAGCCAAATATGATGTAGAATCCATGCCAGCAAAACCTGGCAATGTGCCTTCAGCTTTTGACTTGGACGATGTAAATTGACCTTTATTTCGCTGCATCCTGTCAGAAACAATAAGTAGCATACATTATAAAATTTCCCTAAAAGAACCAATGGCTTATTGGTTCAATGAGAAGGTTATATCTCTAAGGTCACAACTTTCAAACTTTATTTTCCCTCAGTCATATAATAAGTTAAGAGCATGCTGGTCATCTTATGTTTATTTCATAAATTTTAACTCTATTTAAAAAAATAATAATTGGAAAGAGAGTTAATCTTTCTTGTGATGTGTTTAGAAGTTTCTATTGGCATTTTACAAATTTTAATATTTTTTCTCTTCAATCTTGCAGGAAGTTAGGGCTAGTGTTGATTCTTTGGTAAATGTCAACCATTCTTGAAAATTATTTAAGATGAATGATTTATCAATATGGTAAATTTTTTTGATGCCTTGCATGAGCTATCATTAAGGAGTTGATCATCAAAATTTAAATAATTCAACTTAAATTTCGCACTGCAAAAATGAAAATAAATATTGTTTCATTTATGTAAAGAATATATCATTAGCATCTTCAATTAAGGGTGGAACAATTAAGGAAGAAACTTAAATCAATAAAGCAATATTAAAGAACAATTCTCCTTCCATATGGGCATAACCTAATGTTACATATTTAGAAGCCCATTGAGACGTCCTCCCCTTTCTCTCCACCTACCACTAAGGCTCCAATACAAAGAATAAAGTTTTAAATGCATTACAACCTAGGATCTTTTCAATTAAGCAAGAGAAAAATTATTTATGCAAGAGAGTCAAGAAAATTTTTTATTTTTCCTTTTACCTCTATGAAATTATGTAGTAATTGTATTTTAATGATCATAAATAAAGAGTAAGTTGTATTATAATATAATGTTGAGTTGAAATCATATAAGGTGTTGCTTATATGCCATGAATGGTTAAGCTTGGTTGTTCTCTTCTATCAGGATTCTTTGGTAAGTTTTCTAGAAATATTTTGTATATCTTATTGTGGTTAGGAATATCACTCTCTGTTGTGCCATGTTCCATTGTTCATACGATGGGTAGCCCACCCTCCATTTCCATCAATAACTTCCTTGATCAATCACTTAGGCAACCTCTCCAAATCGAGAAAAATGTGAATTACTAATCATTTTTTGCCTATTTTTTCACCAATTTTAGCAGCAAAGCAAAGAAAAACAGGTTTCAACAATGCCTCTGCTAATTACTGGGTTTTATTGGCCAAGTGCCAATCCTAGGGCTTGTAAAAGTGAACAATGCATGGATTGCAAGCGAGTGAAATGGCATGCATGCAGCATGGATAAAAGTGAAGACAGAAGAATCATTTGAGGATAAGTGTGAGTGAGACTATGTATAGGAATGGAAGGGATTACAACTGAGCGCTCAAAAGGAAAAGATAGAAAGCAGTGTGTGGACTGCAAGTCTAGGTCCCGAATGAGAAAGATAAAGACATGGCTTCTCAAGTGTGGAAAGGGAAATTGAATGGGCAAGTACAATCAAGTGAAACAACATCAAGAAAGAGGGTAATTCAAAGATGGGGAGAAAATTTATCAGACCTTACTCTGCTACTATGAAGGATGCTTTAATACCAAACTAATGGAAGATTGAAAATGAAAGAAAGAACGAAAGATAAAAGAATATAGGGAAAATTCACATTTATAATTTGGAGTCATCTACGTACACAATTCAAATAAATAGAGAATACTCTAATTGGCTCAATAATAATTTGATTCAGTAAATCAATAATCAATCAACAATCTACATACAAACCATGAATCATTATTTTTGGAAATAAGTTTACATAGATAAGGCAAAATAACTTCCAATCATACCTAAAACTAATCTAATTCCAAATAATTCATATTCAAACCAATAAATATCCAAACAGATACTTCATCATGAATTAGTTCAAAATAAACCTATTAAATCCAAAATCTTAATAAAACTAAATAGAATCTTAAAACATATTTAAATAATATATAGTGTCTAAAAGTTAGTACTCCCTCTCTGAGTGCTGATCCAATTTGAAGCAACCTTGCTGGGTGACAGTTTCACCTAAAGCCCTCTTCAATTATTAGCTAGATACTTCTATTTACAGATATATAGTTATCTTTACTTTATGTACCCATGATTTATCTAAGATTGTTGCAATATTGTAACCCTCTGGATCATATTTGGTAGTGTTCTATTGCACATGTGCTTCATAGGAACAGACTCTTTGCACACATGATCATAACCACCTTTATACATAATAAATGCACAAAGCCAAGGAGCGCCATAGTATACTATCATTAACCATAGGAACACCAATAGAAAAATAACAAAATATATATTTATATGAACTTCCGATGACCCATTCCAAAAACCAAATAATCCAGCTGCCATTGATGCATCAAAGCCATATTTTAACATAGCCCAGACTAAATAGTACCAAAGCCACCTACTTTAAATGCTTATATGCTGCAAATGTTCAGAAATAGCCATGAAGTATCGGCTTCCAAATAGGCCAACAAAACTAGAAGAACTTGGAATAAATTCCAACTAATGAACCAGCAATAAGCACCTAAACCGTGGAGTAGAAAGTTTATTCTTATTTTAGTTCTCATTATCCAATTTTATTAGAAGAGCAAGCAGAAAATAGAATATGACCAAGTTTCTAGCCATTTTATCCAAATGTATAAGCATAAATCATACCCAAATAGAAGTGTAGCACTTACCCTGGTATCTTATCCTGCAACTAGCGATATAAAAGGATTACTATTGCAAAAAAATACAACTCCAATAAGTAAACTCCTATGTTGATAACGTACACTAACTCAGCAAACAAAACAAACTCAGTACAAGATTTAATACCAACCCTTGCCGAGAGGCTCACCTAAGGGCAACCTCTTTGCGGACATCATAGCGTATTTTCTTGTCAAAATTCCGCTCTTTTCTCTTCTCCCGAAACCTCATTAACGATGCAACCCTGTGAGAAAAATTGAACCTCTGCAAGGGATACAAAAAAAGAAAATTTTCCAAAAAATTCGTAACCTTATAGTAAAAGCGTAATAACGCAAAAGGAAACGTGCATACATGGAGGGTTGAACTATACCTTGTTCAACTGATTAGTAGAAGATGTCGGCGGAGAAGGCAAGGGGGCCGCTACCTCCCTCCCTCCCAACAACAATAACACAGACTGAACCTGTGAGCATTAACCAATAACCAATAGTGCGAGATGAGCTAGAGAGATAGAGAGGGAGAGAGAGAGAGAGTTGTACCTTTTCAGGTGAGACGCAATCAAAGACGTAGACCTCGCCCTGAAAGGAGAGGGTTAGCTGACTACCCCCGACATGAGGGACGATTGAGACACCGTGATCAGTGGTCGCGTCACCGTCGATCGACACAAGACTACCAGCTGATTCATGAAGGCCCTCCATCCCTCCGGCCATCGGCTCCTCGGCCACCGGCGAGCTAGGGTTTTCGCTCATCACGCTTTACAAAACACAAAAACTGATTGCAAGAATAAAATGTCAAGAGAAAGAATGAAGGGCATTCCAATTCTGCTTAGGCGATCGAAATCTTGCGGGTAGAACTTCGATCCGACTTAGTTTTACAGAAATTTTTTTTGCTTTTCGGGGAGAAATATGAAACCCTCGAAACTTTAGAGCGCGGATATATTCAGCGGCGAGCACGGAAAAACATTATTTCTGCCGTTCTGAGACCATACACAAAAAAAAAATCACATGCGAGACGAACGCACATAATTTCTGTACGGTCACATGCGAGACGAACGCACATAGTTTTTTAAGATTTTATATAATATGTTAGTTGAGATAGAAATTAACTTTAAATTTCTTTATATTAAAAAATTATATCTATCTAGTCGTTCTAAATTCTAATATCCAATGAAATTAATATATCATATATTATTTTAGTACTTGTATTATCTTTTTTTATTAATACAATGACTCATATTAAAAATAATTTTCTTATTTATATTAATAAATTTAAAATTAATTTTAAATTTTAAATATTTAAGAATTCATTATCATAAGATTTTCAAGTAATTTATGTCCTTTTTTATGTATTTGATCATTAATATAAATACTTTGACATTAAATTTAAGACTAAGTTTATAATAACTTACATATATTTATAAATTTTTATTCACATATTTAATGATGATAATCATTTAAATGGCCACCAAAACAAAGAGCTTAGCTTGTTTATTACACTATCCATAAAAGCAATGCAAAGAAGGGGTAATTATCATTTCAAAATGATGTTCTCTCATTATTCAAATACTATAATTAAAATTTTGAAAAATACATTTTTCTCTTTAAAAAAAAAATAAATCTAAAAAACAGTTCAAAATAGAGTTAAAAATTAGTGACATCCAAATATAGAAGAATTAATAAAATATGCTTGTAACACTAGAATTTAAAATTATCATTATTATAGTCTCTTAGGATAATTTTCTTTTCATTTGTTGACTTAATGCAACAAATGTTTTTTTTTTTCTATGATTTTAAAGGGAAAACATTATAGATAAAATTATGAAAACAGAGGTAATTTTCAAAGGAGAAATAAAAAATCTATAATTTTCTTGATTCAATAAGCATGTAGATCACAAAATGCTTGATAACTCACACTCCCACATTAATATTTTATTGGCTTTCTATTTTGCAAACTTCGGCTTCATTTAGAGCATGTTTCTTATTATTTTTTAAAGTATTTTTTAGTATAAAAATTTTAATTTAAAAATTTTCTTACTAAAAAACAGTTTTAAGAAGCAATAAGAAAGCATTCCCAAACGAAACCTTGATATCCAATATATCATTAATTTTTCTTACATAAATTGCAAGATGATTAAATAAAAGAGTCTAAAATAGGTCAGTCAGCTATTTGAGGTTAGCTTTCTCTGTTTCTTTATTATATGGAGAAGAGAATAAAAAAAGTGAGTGAGAATTAGCTTCTATAGATTTCTCTTGAATTGGATCCTCTGCTGACTATTCTCTGCAGTGCTTTCTTAGCATCCTCCAATGTCTGAACACCATTTTCCTCTTCAAATGATAACCTCTGTATGTTAAACTGCATTGGCAAACTTAGTTTAAATGCACATAAGGACACAAATAGGGTGAAAACCGAAAAGAATCCCTCATTTATAATTATGAAAAAAAATTAATCCCAATTTCATCCCTCGGCTATACAAAATTGATCACAATGTAATCCCAACGCGACAATATGATGCAGAATGTTGGCCATTAGAAGAGAAGCATAAAATTAAGTTAAGTGTTGTAGAGATGCAGATGCTCAAATGGATGAGTGGCTTTACTCTTCAAGACAATGTGAAACGAGTATATACGTTAAAAGTAGAGTAGTTTTAGTAGTAGATAAGATTAGAGAAAGTCGCCTTTAGATGGTTTGGTCACATAAAACTTCAGTGTTCCAATGACCCGGTTAGAAGATGCCTCAGATCTAGTCTATGCTAAAAAAGATAGAAGTGGACTTAAAAGGACTTGATTAGAAAGCATTATAAATGACTTTTTTAATTAAATTTAAATGAGAATTTGACTCTTGATAGAATATAATGGAGGAAAAAAAAGTTATGTTGTCAATCCTAAATAGTGAGATAAAGACTTTGTGTTGTTGTTGTCGTCTCAAAGCAATCACTTTGAATCAATTTTGTATAGTCAAGCCTAAGGCTTCGTTTGGGATTGCTTTCTTCTTGCTTTCCAAAACAGCTTTTAAGTACAAAATTTCTTGAATTTAAAATTTTTGTACTAAAAAACCGTTTTAAAAAAGCAGTATGAAAGCTATTACAAACAAAGCCTAAATTAAAATAACATAATATTCTAGAACTAAGTTAACCATATACAAATCATCGACGGCCTATATTGAAGTGAGGTGATATAGGCCCAATAATTTATTGTCAACCAAACAAATTTCATTTCATTGCCATTCTTTTATTTCCTTTCTTATAATTCCTTAAAACCAAAGAGAGCCTACGAGAATTCTGTTCTGTTTTCTATGCCATGCAAGTTACCTGAGCCCCCTGCCGAACTCGAACATCAGTTCCTTTGCTATCTATTGATATGAAAGCTACGTCATCTATCTCTCCTTCAGTCGATAGAATTTCCTTGAGTGGTTTAGAGAATATTGCGTTTAGTTCCTGAATATTAAAGCCATTGAATAAGATGAGCAAAAGCTTCTTTTCTCAACCAATTAAAGCTTCATTTGGGACGGTTTTTTTACTGCTTCTTAAAACGGCTTTTTTATATAAAAAAATTTTTTTACTAAAAAAATTGCTTTAAGAAGAAGGAAGAAAGCTGTCCCAAAGGAAGCCTAAAACAAACATCAAGCTTGTTTAGAACAGATAAGAGGAAAAAAATACTAGTAAATCGTTTTCTGAAGAAAAAGCAGCCTTCTTACTCACTTTTAGATTTTGTTCTCCTCCATCGGCAGCAATCTTATCAGGTTGAATGTCTTCATAATCCTTCACATCTATCCACTGAACAGTGCCGAATCCTCCGATAAAATATATGTCCCTGAAATGCATCAAATAGTTGAAGACCACATTGAGAACTGTTACATGTTTGTTAATTCTTGTGGAAAATGAAACTTTTTTTTTTTTGGAATGGAGAATCCACCCGCTGCCACTCCAAAAGGGAGCTTGGCGGCGTTGACTAATTCTCGACTGGCCTAGAAGAGGCACCCACTCCAGAAACATCCTAGCCAAAACTTAATTGGGCCCCACTTAAGAGGCGCTGCCGCTCGAGGAGAATCAAGCACGGGTTAGGGGTTCTCAATCGTACTCGCCCACCAACCAAGCTAAGCAACGGTGGATTATGAGGACTACCAGAATAGGAAATAGAAAGCTATTGGCATACCTGAAAAACAATATCAATTCCATAAGCTAAAATGCTCGTCCCAATTTAAAAAAGTTGATCCTTGTTGAGTTAATCTATGAAGATGATTGTTGTCATAATCTAGATTCGACAAATAATTAACTTGAGATCGATGATGATGATGATTAGAAAACGCTTAAGGTTGATTAAGAGCTAGAATAAGAAACTAGTGACCGATTATGCAACTAAGCCTATGGAACCTCCTACTACAGTTATTAAACCCCTCTATTTGCAGATGGAGATACATATTATTTCTCAATTTTATATACTATGCATGCACCATCACAAGTTGACTTTATTTCCAACACCAATATGTCATATAGGTGCTCATCACTATGGCATAATATACGTGGATACCCAAATATTTCAATAAGAATTGCAATGGCTACAAAAGAAGCTCCTTAATACTCTATGTTATTGTTTGCTTCTTCACTAACACAAATCATCATCCAACCTCGAAACCTCCAGATTCTCTACAAGGTAATCAATCATTGGCAACTCTGCTGATCTCTCATAATGGATGTCAGCCATGTCCACAAGCACGAAACTACAATGCATGTATACTCCAAGTACACTTAAAGAGAGAATGAGCTAATCTCGCCATAATCATCATCACAGCTTTTTCCGCACAACTATTTGAAGAGAGTTCTGTTAGGCAAGCCCTAAGGCCGGCTGAACTACTGGACCGGTTCACATCTACAGAAAACTCTCCAAATCTCTAGCCGTAGTCTAGAGCCCAAGAACAAGAAAACCTAGATCTCAACAATATTCCCAATGCAAGATAATCCCCCCTTTTCCTAATTAATCCTTGCTATGGTGGGAAAAATTCAAATTAGGGGTTGTTTAGGGATTAAACTTTTATCCTTTTGCTTTAATTAGTCTTTTTGGCTAGGGTTTGTGATAGGAAATACTTGAGATCAAGTATTTCCTATGCGTCTCTAGTGCAAATCTCCTCGCCAAATGCTGTCCCGCACAGGAAAACAGTGAAAAACAGCGGAAAAATGGAGAAAAACTGAGAGAAAACGTAGGAAATCAATAGCAAATGATTGTATTCCGCTAGTAGATGCAAGAGACAAGTAAGATACAGCTTTCCTTCGATTCGAGAGGAAGGAAAAACTCTCCAAATCTCTAGCCGTAGTCTAGAGCCCAAGAACAAGAAAACCTAGATCTCAACAATATTCCCAATGCAAGATAATCCCCCCTTTTCCTCCTAACCTCCTAATTAACCATAAAGGAGTTTTACAAAATGTCTAAACAGCCCCTCGCATTCAAAATTTCCCTCCCAAAACTCCTCCTTGGCCCCCGTCGGATGAGCTCGGCTCCGCCCGGTTCCGCCCGCTGTTCCGCCCGCTCGGTTGGTTTCCTCCTCGAGTAGGTGTGGACCGGTCTGGTTTGGACCGGTCCAGCCGGCTCAAATGCCGGCCTAACAGTTTGTTTTTGGATCTTGAATTTGAAAGCAATTTGAAATCTAGCATTTGTGTTCTTGGGCTCTAAGCTTTACTAGAGAATTGGAGAGTTGTTTCTTCCTCTCGAATTGAAGAAACTTTTATCATGTATTGTTTTCTTTGTTCGTGGATTAAATAGAAGAAGTTTTCCTTGTATTTCTCTCCAATATCCTGAGATTATTGCATTGTTTTTGCTGTTTCTCTCTGAAATCAGTATAATATTTATTGTTGTTTTTACTGATTATTGCTAGGTTTGCTTGCGAACTCAAGTATTTCCCTGAGGGTTACTTGTGAACTCAAGTATTTCCTATCAAGTTCCTTTTCGGCTAGACAAATGATGTGGAAAAATTATAGACGTGAGCTTCCTTTCCATATCTGCATATTTTATTTATTTATTTGTATTAAGGACACATAATATTTTTCCATATTAGTTGAGTTATTATTAGTATGTATTAACTACCCTATTCAATATAAGGGGCCTTTGGATGTTAAGGAAAAGAAAAATATTGGTCATTGAATACAATTAAAACCCGAAAATTCTCATATCTTTTTCTCCTATTTTCTCAATAAATTCCAGTTTTCGCCGCTTGCTCATGACTAATTCACATGACAGAGAGAGAGAGAAAGAAAAGAGAAAATGTACAACAACATTAAGCCTTTATCCCACTACGTGGGGTCAGCTACATGAATCCTTTTTCTCCATTATGTCTTGTTAAAAGTCAAATTCTCATTTAAATCAAATAAAGAAAGATCATTTCTAATATTTTATAACCAAGTCTTTTTAGGTCTACCTCTACCTTTCTTAATATAGGCCAAATCTAATACATCTACTCTCCTAACAGGGTCATTGGAAGGCCGTTGTTTTACATAATCAAACCATCTAAGGCGACTCTATAATCTTATCTATCAATGGAGTTACTCCAACCTTTTCACGGATATGCTCATTTTGTATCATGTCTCTAATAGTAAATCCATTCATTCACCTAAGCATCCTCAACTCAGCAAAACTTAACTTAATATTTTGCTTATATTTTAATGGCCAACATTCTGCACCACAAAGCATTGCAGGTCTTACCACCATCTTATAAAATTTTTCCTTAAATTTGAGTGGAACTTTTCTATCACACAACAAATCCGAAGCATTCTGATAGGAAACACTTGGATTTCCAAGTGTTTCTCACCAAAACCAAGTAGATTCAATGTAAAATTGCTGTCCACAGCAAAAAAACAGCCAAAAATAGTAGGAAAGCAGGAAAAACTGCAGAAAAATCCGAGAAAAGACTTGTATTTTACTAGAAGTTGCAAGGAAATAGCAAAGATGCAATTGATCCTCAATTCGAGAGGAGGATCGATCTCTCCCAAATCTCTAGACGCCGCTAGAGCCCAAAGAAATCCTAGTTCTACGAGATCTCAAATTTCAGCCAAATTCAAGATGCCCAAACCCTAGCAAAATCAACTATTTAATGCATACAAATCAAAAGGAATTCCCTAAACAGTCCCTACATTCAAATTTCCCTCTCAAAACGCTCAAAAAAACTTCCTAAAACGCTCCCGCAAGCAGAGCGGCTCGCGCGGCCTCCGCCCAGGCGGAAGATTTCCGCCGTTTTGTCTCGGCCGGTCCCGCGTGGACCGGCTGGACCGGTCCACTGGACCGGTCTAACAATACTCCCCTCCCAAAGATCCACCTTGTCCTCAAGGTGGAAAGCACGACACCTCTCCATTCCTTCTTTCATCACAATAGTAAGAACTTGAAGAGTTTGGTCCTTACACCTGTGCCCGGCGTATACCCTCTGTCACATCTGAAACAAAGCTCTTTTGCCCTCTTCTCCTGTAATTCTGTCTCAAGTGAGCTTCTTGAAGTTATCCCCACTCCCTCCTCCTACTAGCTTCTCTCTGGTGATCTCATTATTGTTGACTGATGCAGGCCCCTTTGGTGCTAAAGAGAGTGGCCATAGTCTTGTAAAGCCTCTTGAGCTGCTGCTACTCGGCTCCCTCTCCAGATTATTCTGATTTTCTACACATGTGCCAACTTCATTGCCTCCTCCAAATCACTAGCATCAGAACTTTAACTGCCGCTCGGACTCTCTTCAATTCTCGAAGTTCACCCAATAGCTATCTAGACGCTCCAACCTAGATGCTCGACCGCTCACGGTAACACCTCTGCTACATGACATACGCAATTCTCATAGAAATCTCCTCCCCGGTCGGTTGGAAAGCTTCTATTAGGCAGTTTAATTCCCTCCAGTTCCTGTATAGGCTCCCTCCTGTCACGCCACTGATACAAATGACAAAGCCTTTCCTTCCAGACACAATCCTGCTGCCGTCAGCTCTCATCCTCTGTCAACCCATTGACAGCAAAGTAACGCTCCACCTTGTAGATCCAGCCATGGCCATCTTCCCCCTCAAAAGGGCATTCTTCAATTCCTCACCTTGGGTTCTCCCCGGTATCCTCCATAGCCTCCATCCCCTCAGAGGAGGCTTCCCCAATTGTCCCGATCGTCCCTCCGACGAATATACTCTAACCCCTCTTCATACTCACCTCTCCCCCTTCAACATCATCACCTCGACGCTGAATACCTTCAAATTCAGCACCTCGACGATGACGTTCCTTCTTTCTTCAAAATCCCACCCTCGACGCTGAATTCTTTCGAATTCAGCACCTCGGCGATGAGATCCCTCTCTCACCCCACCAAAATCAGCCCCCCTTCTGTCATATCTCATGCTCATCTCTTCCCTCGAAAGGGGCTCTAGCGGAGGCATGTCGTTCTCTTCCCTCTAGGATCTCCACTCTCCGAATTCTCCTCCCCCGCAAGGGGTTCGGATTTCTCCCATGCCATGGCCGTCGGTGTCTCTCTTACTCCCGATGTCACCGGATTGGTTTTCACTCAAAGTAGTTTCTTCATATTTCCTCCATTGCGGTGAACTTCCCCTCCAACCTTTCATTGTTGGAGGTGATTTGATTTTGAAGGTTGAATAATCTTTCCTCCAAACCGGCTTTCAGTTTGCCGACTTCGCCTTCCAAGACGTCAACCTTCTTTCCGGCCATCGTTCTCCTAACGGATCCCAAAAAATCTTCTTCCGGAAACGATAAACTTGCTGAAATTTCAGAATTTCAGCCGCCGGTGGCCCCAAATCGATGCTCTGATACCAATTTGATAGGAAACACTTGGATTTCCAAGTGTTTCTCACCAAAACCAAGTAGATCCAATGTAAAATTGCTGTCCACAGCAGAAAAACAGCCAAAAACTGTAGGAAAGCAGGAAAAACTGCAGAAAAATCCGAGAAAAGACTTGTATTTTACTAGAAGTTGCAAGGAAATAGCAAAGATACAATTGATCCTCAATTCGAGAGGAGGATCGATCTCTCCCAAATCTCTAGACGCCGCTAGAGCCCAAAGAAATCCTAGTTCTACGAGATCTCAAATTCCAGCCAAATTCAAGATGCCCAAACCCTAGCAAAATCAACTATTTAATGCATACAAATCAAAAGGAATTCCCTAAACAGTCCCTACATTCAAATTTCCCTCTCAAAACGCTCAAAAAAACTTCCTAAAACGCTCCCGCAAGCAGCGCGGCCTCCGCCCAGGCGGAAGATTTCCGCCGTTTTGTCTCGGCCGGTCCCGCGTGGACCGGCTGGACCGGTCCACTGGACCGGTCTAACACATTCCTCCATTTCAACCATCCAACTTGAATTCTACTAATAATATCCCCATCGATTTCACCATCACTCTAAACAATAGACTCAAGATATCTAAAACGAGTAAACTTATTAATGACTTGATTGTTCAAAGTCACAATCCCCCACTAGATCCATTACTACTAAAAATACACTCCATGTATTCGATTTTATATCTTCTCAAACAAAAAACTTTTAGACTCTAAGGAGAGAAAATGTATTACAACAAAAAAGGAACAAAAAGGGAACTAGAAAAGTTGGGCAAAGACGAAGCTACTCAAGCTTAAGGTAGATACACATAGTAGAAATCTACTTATATAGAACATGACCTCCTCTCTCAGAAGCAAGGCACTTGAGCATTCATAAATGAAATCTCTTGCCCCTAAGGCTGAGAAAGCCAACATATAAACACGAGAATGGAATGATGAACTAGGAATACTTGAACGTCCATGTCAACTAGCCGTTAAAGTGCCATCACCAGGCTAGTAATATGCAACCATAAGATGTACCCCACTTTGAATGGAGCCAAGTCTACACTAGATGGAGTGAATCATAATTAACAACACATACTTCTGTAATTGTGATTGACATGTGGAAATCACTTGAAGAGAGAGTAAGTGGATGTCTCCATCACACCCCCTCTCTTTTCTTTCTTTCATCTTCACTTGTTACAAACAACTACCTGTTATATATGACACCTTCTTACAAAATATTTATTAGTTGGAGGAAGACTATAAGGAAAAAAATAATGATTGAAACCGAGGCAGGCTGAATTAAATGCTTTCAAAAGAAAATAATAATGACAAAGCAGTGGTGACATGTAAACCCTTGATTTCATTTTTTTTCTGTAAATTACAACACAATAGTTTTCATGGAAAAAAAACAGAAAAATTTTTAAGGGCGAGAATACCACCAGATGTAATGTGATGCCACTCTTTTATAACTTCGTTGTACAACTCATAAATTTTTGCAAGAATTACTATATTATTGAAACTCTTATTTATTATTAATTAATAGTACCAAAGTCCATTGTCTCCAATCATATATGATACTATTAGTCTTAAGATTGCATAAAAAAATGGTAATCACATTGTTACAATCTCCTGAAAATCCAAATCTTAATAGATATCTGAGGTGGAATTTTTATCCTTGTGCATTTTCTTCAAACTAACTCCTCTATTAATTATAAAAATATAATAGCATCTTCATATTTTATTAATTTTATGAAGAATTTTTTCTTTAAAAACAAACTCGTTAATTTCACATGATTTTCACATTTCACTTATAAATTATAATCCACAAATCTTGCCTATATACACATTTAACATCCAATCCTCAATATTAACATATTTAACAAATAAATCTTCTTCGTTCTATTAGAATACCTGATGAGGACATCCATAGAAGATTTTGGCACACATACCACCGGAGGGGTCATCGAGCAACAGTCATGATTCAGAGTCTTTATTTTTGATGTTTTATTTTATTCATGTCATTTTATATTTCCTGTTTTCCATTTGTACCCATATGAGGGAGTTAATGTTTATTGTAGCCCAAGGGCAATGTCGTCATTATGACTTTTATTTTCGGTTGGCCTATATATAGGCTATGTCATTGTATTTGAGTTAGTTTTTGATGAAATGAAAATTTGCTTTGTGTTCTCTTAGTGAGTTCATCTCTCTCAAATCTCTTAGTGAGTTTTGGGAAGAGCTAGATCTCTTTGTGAGTTCTAGACCTTCTTCCCCATTGTCTTTGTGATTAATTAGTTTGAGAAGTCAAGGTGAATCCATCCGTGATTTTCTTCTTAAGCTTCCTTCCCACGACCTTCTCCACCAAGTGTTTCCGCCGCCCCTCCCTATCAAACTGTCGGCCAACAGCAGCCCAGCCACCCGCCGGCCTGCAGCCCTTGCCACCGCCTCCCCCCTAACCCCCCCAGACCGCCGGCCACCAGGCTGCCGCCTCCCGCCGGCCGGCCAACCCCCACGCCGTGGCCGGCCCCTTGCCCCCCACCTCTAGCCGCCGGCCCCCTCCTTTGAATTTCAAATTTGAAATTTCAAAGTTTCATGAGCCATTAAATGTTTCCTAATTTGATTCCATAATTTATGCAATCAATTTAATTGAATTTCAACTTCGAATTTGAAATTCAAATTAATCCCATTGATTGTCTTCCAATTAGGAAACTCCTCCTCTTTAGAAAACTGAAATTTAATTTCAGATTTTGTTAAAACTGAAATTAAGGTTGTGGTCCCCACTCAATTGAAACTCAAGCCCCTCTCTCCTATTCATGTGGCCGGCCCCTTCATGAGTTTTTCTCTCTTTAATTAGCTCTAATTCCCCACAAAATCAGCCCCAACTCCCTCTCCTCATTGCCGCCCCCTCCTTATTGGAATTCAAATTGAATTCCACAATTAAACCCCTCCCATCTCTCCCAAAATCTGAGAAAATTCCAGGATTCCTGAAATCCTCTTTTGTTGATCTCTCAACCTAGCCGCCCCCCTTCAAGCAATCATGCCGGCCCAATCCCGGCTCCTCTCTTGCCACCAACACATGTTCTCGTCCTCCCTTTGGTGCTCATTCTTTTCCGGCAATGACGCATGGCGGATCCTGAGCTTGAAGGCGGACTTGTATTCGACATCTACGGAAACATCCACGTTCTTCGATCTCCCTTCTTCGACGTGGGGTTTGACCACGACGACGACACAGTTGGAGGTTACTTGGATCGAATCCTCCCCACCCTTGTGCACGTCATCTACGGACAATTTGCAGACTACGAGTGGATCATTGACGGTCATCATCCCTTGCCACCTCCACATCCTATGCCTCCCTCTCCATCTCTACGGATCGCCGGCACCGTCTACCTGGGAGTGATCTCGTTTCTTGTGTGGTTCTTCTTCCTCCGACAAACCTAGACGTAGAAGAGTGATTTTGAGCCTCAAGGTGAGACGATCGCTTTGTTAACCGCCGGATTCTAGTTGGCTATTCATTTTCATTACTTTTGATTGAGGTTGTTATTTTATAGATCTTGCAAACTTAGTTGTAACGACTTGCCTAGACATTGTTAACTTCTAAGATCTTTATTGATTTGTCAAATTTGAGAAGCATTAAATTGTCTTATCATTGCTCTAACAAAATTTTATTAATTTCTAAGAAACAATTCCTAGTTTCACATCAATACCACTCTATAACTAACAAGTAAAGGTAGTTCAATGACCGATGACAATTGAAGGTGCCATTCAAGAGGTTTTCGTGGGGATTTGAGGAACGTGAAGCAAAATTGATGGTGAGACGGTGATCCAACAATTGTCCAATGGAGTTTTACAAAGTCCAAATTGGAATTAAATTTTATGGAACATGCTTAAGATTTTAAATAGATTAAATCATCGTTGAAATTTTAGAAGCAAATGTTGTAATAGCTCAGTAGATAGTGAACCAATGTTGTTAGAACAATTTATCTAGTCCCCATAATTAGATGCATCATGCAACCATTTCAAAATAAATAGAGAAAATGATCAAAAAAGATCTCTTGACTCTTTATGATGGACTGAAATGATCCTCAACTATATTAAAAGATTATTTTGATCTTTCAATTCTTTAAAGAGGAATCAAAATAGTCCCATCATGAGATTATTTTGACTCTTTTTAAGGACTTGAGGGATAAAAATTATTCTTTAATATAGTTGAGGATTATTTTTGGTCCTTCATAAAGAGTTAAGGGATCATTTTGATCTTTTTTCTCAAAATTATTATGTGTAAAGGCCAAAGGCAATCCATTATCATGTACTTCCAAACTGATCTGAAATGAAAAACATGTTTTGGAACTTTAGCTAAAAAAGTTAATTTTGTCAAATGTTATATGCAACCATACAAAAAACACAAAGATACTCCGTTCATGAGATAGTATATTGAGCTGCTGCTATATTAAAAAGGAGAAATACTAATGCATGAGAATATACATGACAAACCTTATGGTAGCCATCCTGTAATAATAGAAGTTTCCCCATTGCTGGGATGCCCACTGTTGGTGCTTTGATATGAATTGATTACAAGCCCAATCCTGAAGCAAGCAATACAAAATTTACTTAAATGCATTCCCATCGAATCTACTGGGAAAGTTTGTTAAGTTTAGTGCATTTCTTTGAATCAATTTGAAAGGGAATAACTGTAAAGCAGTGAACAAATAAAAAAGATTGCTGTAATGAGTTCTAAATTACAAACTTCATTGAATTTTAGAACAACTCAGCAGCAAAGGAGTTACGGAATGCAATCTTTTACTTTCTTACATCTCAAGATACTCCTGCTCACTCCTGTCCACATACTGAAATGTATCTCCAAAATTTCTACATGATTGTTAGTTCCCTTTCTACAGTAATCCATTTACCTATCAACCCATCTTCTTTTAAGGCCAGCAAGCTCATACAAATTTTATCTTATAATGAAACAAGTTGTGAGGAGATGAACCATGCACAAAATCTATGGCATGTTATGTGCAACTAAGAAGAGCAAGCTCATTAATCAGATTCATCTATATAGAAATGAATGGACTTTGAGAGGATCACTAGATCAACTAAAAGGCTTCCTAATCTCTTCAATATATGAAGAGGTTTCTTATGATTTAAGGGTACGTTACAATCTCTTTCCGTTGCCTGCTAAAGTTTTTTTTTTTTTTCATTTTGCAAGAATTATAAGCTCTTATTATATCATCATCATATGGAGCATCTGGTGATAAGTTATTCTTGTTATTTCACTAAGATAATATGCAATGCAAAGTTGCAAACCTTCACATCCATGTCTGAATGAATGCACAATTCATAGGAAAGAAAAAACCATCTCACGTCTGAATGAAAGCACAATTCATAGGAAAGAAAAAATCATCTCACGAATTCAATATCAATCAATAGAAATTTCAAGAATTAGAAGAAAATAACTAAAATAGAATAAAATCTAAATATAGAAAGACTATAAAAAAGAGAGAAAAAAAAAGAGATTTATAGTTGCCCCATCCTTTCCATTTTCAGACGAGACGAGGAGTAAGGGAAAATGGTTTTCAAAAGCACCCGAGCAGAGTTCTTCGTACGCTTGCCAGCAAGGTGAAGCGTAAGGGCATCGGCAGGGTCTTCCAATCTACTCCGCGTGCAGTTCTTGCCTACATCGTTCTTGTGAGACTCAATAACATATTCTCATTCAGGGCAATCGGTCTGGAGTTAGTAGGCTGAACAGCAGTCAACATTAAAGCAGATGGAGATTACTTCATTCTTGACAATAAATTTTCAGCTTTATCAAGAAATAGCATAAGTTGTTATAAATCGGATGGAGGAGACGCCAGCTTATTCCCTATATCTTTGACCCCATCCTCCAGCATTAAATCATCATGCGACATTTGCACAGATGTGCACAAGTGACAAGAGAGACTGCAAGCACACACAAGACCACTCATCCAAGCGTTTGGCTCTTCCCAGGCACACGCACCGAAAAATTCCTGCGCGACTCCTCCCGCACTCGGTTCTGCTTCTGCGTGGGTAATAACGCAACACAAAGGCTCGGCCTCCAGGAAGAGATGCACGAAGTATATGACCAAGAGGAACATCACTCCTCTCTCGAGCGCATGCGGGGACAAAGACTGAGTCGGATGTCGTCATTCCCAATATGACCTAGCTGTTGTCCAGACGCACGATTTCTCATCCCGTGCAGTCGCACGCACGTGAGAGGAGGCTACTCCGCTCCGCTCGATTCTGGTCCAAACGCATGCAAGAGGAAGCCTCCTGCTCAATCTCTCAACGATTTTGGACACACAAGAGACTCCCGTCTCCGCTTCTTTTTGCCACAAGCACGAAACAGAGAGCATGAACAGTTTGAACCGCTCGACTCTCGTTCAATCTCCAACGGCAATGAAGGCCGCTTACTCCTCTTTGCTTCATTCGATTCTTATATCTAGAGATTTCGGCAATGAAAACCAGTGGAATGACCAGTATTCCTCATAATTCCGGCAATGAAGGCCGGTGGTGGGAATTTGGCTCTAATAAGTGGGAATCTGGCTCTAACAATATGTTAATTTCAGAGAATTGGAGAGGAAAAAATCTTCTTAATTTCATTATGCAAAACTATCTCTATTTATAGATTTATACAAGATATCTTAATAAAAAAACAAATAAATATGGAATCATGCATCATTGCCTTCATATAAGTCTTCCCAAATCAGCCACCCGAATATGGAAGGAGATTGACGTGATCCAAGTGAGCCTCCCACAGATCCTTATGCTGGCTGTGGGATCAAGGGCCAAGGCACGGCTGAGATTTAACAGCATGATCCAAGTGAGCCTCTCACGGATCCTCATGCTGGCCATGAGATCAATGGCCAAGGGATGGTTGGGATTTAACAATTACTAGTCTAATGCTTCTATTAACTCCCGTGGCTACAATTTTTTCAGATCTTGGCTCAACCACTAATTTTCTCTAGAGATCCTTACCATAAGGACCACTATTTTGCTAACCTTAGACATGCTACTAAACACCATAAGAGCTTTATGTAACTTTGACCATGGTCATGAGTTTATAAGGAAATGTCTCTGTCAATTGGGAATGATCCCGCATAATTGAATGTGCCCATTGCATACTTATAACTCAAGCCACTAGAACACTTGATTTATAGAACTAAAAAATCAGATAAAAGCTATAGCCTTCTGTTGCTGCGATATCTAAGTTGAAAATTCTATATAAAAATAACATAAGATCCTCTTCAACATAATTTAGGGTTATTAACTCATCAAACCTATTCAAATACGCTGAAAAAAAAAATGCTAACTTTACAGAATAATCCATTAGTCAGCAACCAATCCTTTTAAGAAGGCAGGATGCATTTTTCTAAGTTCTTAATCATTTTTTTCAACTTATAATTAGATATTGGCTTAACTTCTCACGTGTGTTCCAACACTAGGCCAATAACTTCTGATCTGCCCTGCTAACTTCATATTGAAGAACCAAATAACACACGCATCCTCCATGAAAACAATGATCCATGTTAGAAATACTTACTAGAAAAACTATATGATTGAGTCAACTATGTAAAGAGGCATCCTTTAATTTCATCTAACAGTACTGTTATCATCTTTATTGTTTTTGAAATCACGACAGTAATTACAATAAAACTGAAAATCAGTAACATGTGCACCATGAGACCTAACACCATAATAATTTCCTAAACAAAGAGAGTGTTCAATGAGAACTCTTATATTGAACCCTGTCTTCCATCAGGCCACTCTAAGTTTGCCATTCCTCTTAAATTAGGCAATGGTTCATGAAAAAGATTGGAATCAAAGATAGACTCTTGTGTAACTCTTGATTATATGGCCTGTGTTGATCTTCATCAGGCTTCAGTAAAGGTCATTGTTTTTCTATTCATGTAATAGAGAGGCAAAAGATTCAACAAAATCACCCATTCTAGAACTTCTTTAATGTTTTAAAGAACCAATGGAAACTGTAATCAACCTCTAAGAAAAGCTAATGCATGAATTAATTTTTCTTAGTAGGCTTTAAGAGTATGAATCTACAACTTTTTAATGTTCAATAAAAGCTATCATCAAACATAGACTATGGCTTCGTTTGGGACAACTTTTTTGTTGCTTTCTAATACATATTTCTAGTGCAAAAATTTCTTAAATTAGAAAATTTTATACTAGAAAGTCATTTTAGGAAGCAGTACGAAAGATGTCCCAAACGAAGCCTATGATACTCCCTATAAGCCATTAACATTCTATAAGATACCCAAAATAAGAGAGCATGAGCAAACATAGAATATGAAAATAAAAATTTCTATGGGACAACTCAAAGGGACTATAAAACAAGATCAATCATGTTAACGTAACCATAACAAACTTGTATTGAGAAGGAAATAACCAAAGTACAAGTGTAAATGCAAAATTACTAAAGCTTTATAATTATTATGAAAGAATTTTGATCTTCAAAAAATATTATATAGAAAGCATACTATCATGAAATCTGACTACAAAGCCAACATGCAAAAACCATCATCAAACACCAAGGAATAAACAATTCTTACCGAAAAAAAATTTTTAGATTGTTTTTTTTTTAATTACCAAGCCCAATTTTTTAGATTTCTTATTGGTTATATTTTTAAAACCTTCTAGTCATTAGCGGACCTACAGGGACCCTTGGGGCATGGGCCTCCACTGGCCCATTCATGAAAACCATTTTATTTTAAATATTTCAAAGCAAAAAAGCTGACTTCGCTACAGTTTGAACTCAATATCCCTGGTTCTATAAACCAGCCCATATTCACTAGACCACATAGATAATCTATGCTTCAGTATCTATTGTTTTTTTTACTCAAATAATCATTAAATCCGACAATAAAAAAAAGAGATAAAAGATAGTTAACCTGTTTATCTGCAGGTAGTGGGATGGCATCACCAAATATTGTAGCTCGCGCATTTGATAGCCCACTCCACCCAGGAATCTACAATTAAGCCTTGCTTTAGATAACCCAACTGTTCTATGCTAATTGCTAAAATTTTGATACTAAGGCTTCGTTTGGGACGGCTTTCTTATTGCTTCTTAAAGCAGCTTTCTAGTAAAAAAATTTATTTGTTGTACTAAAAAACTGTTTTAAGAAGCATTAAGAAAGCTGTCCCAAACAAAGCCTAAATGTTATTTAGAGATATAACATAGTTTATTGATAGAGTAATACCTGAACAACTAGAGTGCACCTCGAATCTGCCAACAAGTTACGAGTGTGGATGGCCAATGGTGATAGTGAAAAAATTGGATCTATGAAATGACAATGGATATCACTATAAGTAACTTTGAAATAAAATTGAAATAGGTAAATAAATAGCATTACAAACTTACGTCCCATTGAATCAGTTGCATAATCAACCAAAGAACCGCATGGATATCCTGCACGTCGATGATGCATTCGAGACATCACAGTGCATAAATGAGCAAACCTGGCCTGTTATGAATAAGGCACGACATGAAAACACGACAAAGGAAAGTAAAAGACAAGCAATGCTCAAAATATAAAAATCAAGTCATGATTTAAAAAAAACAACTAAAGAGAGAATTATAATTTAGGATGTTTGGGACGGCTTTCTTACTGCTTCTTAAAGCAACTTTATAGTAAAAAAAATTTAATTTTTATACTAAAAATTGCTTTTAGAAGCAGTAAGTAAGACGTCCCAAATGAAGCCTTAATGTACAAACATCTAACTGTTTTGCAAAGCAGCTTACTTGTTCCATCAAGTTGCGAACAGCTAATGCTGCAGGAGGTAAATCGTGAGAAAATGTCGCACTATGCAAACCACCTGAAATTGGTGTTCTGAATAGCCCAGCTCTAGTTGTAGATCCACCATGAAAATTTGCACCATAAGGTCTTGTTACTTCTTTTTCAATTACATCCACCTTGTCCATTCCACCCTCATCCTTATTATGTTTCAACTATTGATTAACCATTCAAAAAGAAGTTAATTCTCCCTTTAGACAATAATTGAAAACCAAAAGCCATATTGTAGGATGTAAAATTCAAAAAACTTGTCAAAAAGATGTTATGTTATAGGCTAAATGCATCGGATATAGTAATGAATGCAATGGTTGTCAATACTTCAGCTTCCTTTCTACCAAAAACAACAAAAAAATAAGTTTAACGTAAAAATGTCAAGGCTCCAATCAAGTTGACATGCCTTAGCGAAGAAAAAATATCAAAGGAAAAAAATCTAAAGGGAGAGACTCGATTATGTTCAAAAAATATCAACTTTGGATCACTTCAGCCAATCAACCAATGTCATGCAATATGATGGAGAATTTCATAGAAGTAGCATATCACATCAACTTATCTTCACAAACACTGTGGTAACATTTCCTATATAAAAAATGCTAACTTGCAAATTCTGATGCAACGAAGAATAAAGGCATATTTCACCATGGATGCATTAGACCAGGCGTTAAAACAATTTTCCCACTTGTAGCATAAAAATAGACTACCCGATTTTTTAAGCTAATTAACCGTAGCACAAAGCTATGGGATAACTCTTACAATTCAATACGGCTTTGACCACTAAATGTAAATGCAGGGTTGGAAAGGATGCCTAGTAATCAGTTAAAAGTTATTAATTAACAGAGAAAAGCATTTAAAGAACAAAAGTTCCCAAAATTAGCATTGAAGGAAGGAATTGGAAGTTAAGTGAAGCATGAGCCCACTAAATCGACGTATCAAAGAAGGCTTCATTGGAAACAAATCATGGTGCTCATGTGCACTATTGCTAAAATATGGCTTTAAATGCTACCTAAAAAAAATCCTGACAATTAAATTTCAAATTATATTAACCATCAATTTGTGATCATTCATTTGTAATTATCCTTAATGAATTTAGTTACCCAAGTGTCCATTAGGCCATGCATATCAAGAGGGCCCACGATAATCACTCCAATTAAAAGGAAGGTGCTATACACTTAATATTTCTTTAAATACTACCTAAACTCCTATTGGCCATACATTCTCAGTTCATTGCCCTCATACAACTTATTATGTCATGAATGTCTATGATACGACACTCCCCCCTTCACTGATCTTGATGACAGGTAATGTGGCGTGTATTTTCCATAGAGCATGATATAAAGTTTGGTTCCCAAATAGTCGGGATAAGGAAAATGATGATGATATATAAAGTCAAGTGTGAGTTATGAGATGTAATCTATTTGGCATTAAAGATTGCTTAGCTTTCATTATCAATACTATTAAGAAGAGGCTTGAAATTTTGTTCCCAGAGTACCCTAGCCATGAACTTACAACAATCAACATAGATTGTTGGTACAACAGCAACAACATCAAGCCTTTGTCCCACTACGTGGAATCGGCTACATGAATCCTTTTTCACCATTGTGTCCTGTTAAAAGTCAAATTTTCATTTAAATCTAATAAAGAAAGATCATTTCTAATATTTTCTAAAAATCCCTTGGATGGTAAACACAATTCTAAAGCATAAATGAACATCAAGGAGGCATGATTCAAGTTCATATAGATATCAAAGCACCCTCAACAAGCCCTTGAAAGCAATCCTACAAATTCAAAAAATTTAGGGACACTGCACTTTCTCATTTCTTCTAGAACATATCATCTCTCTTGTGGATGCCTATGTTGTTGGATCATGCACACAAGTGAGGAACAACTCAAACCAAGCCATGATACTAAATTGGCATGCTGCTTTCGATCAGCACTTCAGTAAAACACATGCAGCTTATTTTAATAATCTAAGGTTCCATTTGCTTTGTCCTAAATTCGAAAAAAAAATCTTTTTTTTTTTTTGAAAAACAATGAAATTTGTTAGATCCATCATTTGATTATCCACAGTTAGAAAAAAACATTTAGTTAAAGATCCACAACCCCTATCAAACTCCCCTCAAGTGTAATGATTTCAACTTCACATACTTGATTGCTTCAAGTTATAAAACATTTTTTCAAAAAAAAAAAAAAACATGGATTTTCTATATTCTATCATTTGGTTGAATAATTTTCAACTGTAGCAGCGTTTTCAAAACAAAATCAGCATTTTTTAAACAAGTATCAAATCTATAAGCAGCCAAATAAGTTAATTGTAAACGAAATATCATTTTCTAAAACGTGTTTTCCATCAACAAGCAACCAACTGAACCATCCATCTGAACAGGTCCTACGAGTCCCTTTCACTCGGTAGGAAAAAATTTATATCCTACTTCCAGCCACCTCCTCCGTATCATTGTAGCAAGTTTATGATCTACAGTGATTTTCTGTAGACGATAAACCAATAAAAGTCATTTTGGAAGATTCTTCCGATACAGAAACGCCACCCAAACCAAGGCATCATCATTCAACAAAACTGCCTTAATGAGAAACAGAAGCTACAGAATTCAAATCCTTATATCCAAAAGAAGCACCAAATAACAAATAAAAATCGGAACAGAACAGATAAAGAGAAGCCGATAACACCTCGACTCCATGCAAAGCAGACCCATTTCCGAAAGGCTGTTCTTCGCCCTTCCCTCCGTCAAATACCTCATTGGTAACTGCACGGACTCCGCTACGGCGACTAAAGAGACTTGGAAACTTAGAATTTTGATGGGTTTTGAAGAGGCACTGTCCAAAAGATGGGACCTTGGGGCAAGAAAAGACGCAAGAGTGCCTTGAAGAGTAGGGTTCGGCCCGCCAGGAGGTAAAAGAGGAGGAGACCAGAGCTTCCATTAAGGCAAAAATCCGGAACGATGAATTCACAATGGAAAGGAAAAAAAGATGAAAACTTCAGAAGGTTTTCTTGTATTTTGGAAAGAGTGGAGAACCAGGCCAAAGACAAAGCCAAAAAAAGCACGAAGCCCTTTCTAGTAATCTAACAAAAAGTCTTTAGAGGTTAGCCGGGAAAGAATTTCCCGGATTCATTGCATGAAAATATATCTTCCGGATTATTTATTTATCAAGATTGCATTCCTTTTTTAAGCGTGGAGACTACTTATTTATAGTTGTTAGGAGAGCAAGTTTTGAAATTTCCCATATTTGCCTCAATTTAATTTGGAATGCTCAAGTCTAAAACTTCTTCTTTCTGCTTCTTAAAACAGCTTATTAAGGGCATCTCCAACCGAACGCCAAACGAGCGTATGCCGTTCGTCTGTTGCTCCAACCGAACGCAAAAATTTCCGCCATTTGCTTGCAGGTGAACAGTGCGACGTCAATATTGGCGTCGCACTGTTCACCCACGTCATTTTACGCTCTCATCCGGTAAAACGCGCGAAAGGGAGAAGATCGTTAACTTCTGAAAAACACCTAAAATGACGTTCGATTGGAGCAGCACCACGCCATTTTGGAGTTCTGCGTTATTTTGCCGTAAATTTTGGAGTTCTCCGTTAGAGATGCCCTAAAAAGTTACTTAAAAAAGTTGTCCCAAACAAAACTTAAGACTTCAAACGAAAGATTTTTTTGCTGTTTCTTAAAACAATCTTTTAGCTACATTTTTTTTAATTTTTTAATTAAAAAATTATTTTAAAAAATAATTAAAAAAAAAAATTGTTTCAAACGAAGTCTAAAGCTTCATTTGATGACCTTTGGGCCATTTCTTTGTGCTATTTAAAAAAAGAATAGTGTTAAAAAGCTGCTAAAAATAATAATAAGAAAAATGTCTCAAATAAAACTTAAATTAAATAAATTAATTTAAGATAAGAGTAGACTTAGACTCAATTCAATATAAGATGAAATAATCTTTAGTTGTAAAAGACATTTTAGCCCCGCAGTTGGTGCTTTTGAATTAGACCTCAGCGGCACGCATTTAGTGCTCAAGATTTCAAAACATTAAATTATAATTAACGGTACTAATAATTTTAAGTTAGAATTTGAGTGAATTAAGATATAAAAGTCCTTATTATATGGAGAAAAAAATATTTTTAAATTTTATTAGTCTATGAATTAAATAGATGCAATATTCAATGACGGGGGAGAAATTATTCTGTGCGGACGTTGGAGACAGCTCTGCGTCCGGATGCCACGGTATCGAGCAGTACCGAGCTGCGATAAAGTAAAAGGGTGACATGACACATTTTTATTGGTCTTAGGACGACGTTTGGTGTCCGCACAGAATAATTTTTCAAGACTAGGAAGCTTACTTTTAGCTTTCTATTATCAATTAAACATAAGTTTTCTTGGCAATTTATTTTTAGCAACTTGGACAATTGGCAATGAACAAGATCATGATTGTAAAAAGTTTGTAGTAAGAATTGTTGTTTTTTATAGAGCAACATTTTATTTGATCAAATAGATGTGACTCACAGATCTTTATATGTTGTGGCATAACCTGTTAGTCACTAAAGACCAACGGGACATCATGGCAATTGAAGCTTCCTCATCCACCTCCATTCCTATGCCAGTGTTTCCGCCCCCCACCAAAATTCATTCTCCCAATAAATTTGATGCCTTGCAGTTCCTAGAGGAGGAACTGGATTCCCTAACTGCTAGCCTCACCTCTGCCAAAGAAATTGTTGCCAATGTTGTTGACATTGAACACCCTATCATTTTCAATCGACCTCAATCCAACAAAACTGCTAAGGGGAAGCAAGCCAAGAAACCCCCTCCCTCTCATAAAAAATCATGTTTGTGCCTGTCATTGTTTGCTGGAATATTAGATGTTTTAATAGTCCAGACAAGGTACTCTGTTGCAAGCATTTGATTGCTTTGTTTAAAGTTAGTATGATGTGCATCTTGGAGAATATGATTCATGTTTCCTCTCTCCAAGACCCCTTCTTTTCTGAAAACCATAAGGTCTTCCCGTTTAAGGATTCTTGTCACAATTTTGAGCTCTCTTCTTCTGGGCGTATATGGATCAAGTGGAACTCTTCCATTATTAATTTCTCTTCTACTCACATCTCTACACAGATGATCTCGGGTTTGGTTGTGTATGACAATAGCCGCCTTTTACGCTTTTTGTGATTTATGCAGCTAATGATGTAGTTGATCGGTCCCGTCTTGGGAGTCTATTAGATCTTCTGCACCTGACCAAAATTCTCCCTGGATCATCATGGGGAACTTTAACTATTGTAGATTTTCCACAGATAAATTAGGTGGTAATGCCTTGAGCCATACGAGACTATGGGAGTTAAATTACATGATTTTTGATGTCAAGCTAGAAGAACTTCACTCTGTTGGTAGCACTTACACCTAGTATAATCAACGAATTGATAACCCCATTCACATCAAATTGGATAGAGTCCTTATGAATGCTAATTGGAATGCCAGCTACCCACATTCATATTATTCGATGTAAGCTCCCTCCTGCTCCGACCATTGTCCTTTAATTCTTCAGGCAATGGATTCCACCCCCTCTCTCCAAAGATTTCTTTTTTAAGAATTACTGGACATCTATAGATAATTTTTGGGGTATTCTCTTAGATGTTTTTTCTGCTCCTACTTATGGGAATCCTATGGCAAAATTTTGCTCCAAGCCCAGGAAACTGAAAAAGAGATTTAAAAATGCAATCTTGGGCTAGCTCTAATTATATCAAAGACTCTTTGGATAATCTTTATGCTAAGCAATCTTTTTTACTTGGAGCAGATATCGGTGCATTCTTCTAATGATTCCCTCAATGCTTCCCTTAAAAGCATTTCCAAATAGATCTCGAATTTTACTTCTCTCCATGCCTCGTGGATCATTCAGAGGGCTAAATCCTCGTGGCTCTCTCAAGTTGAACACAATCTTAAATTTTTATATGCTAAAATTCCAAGACGAATGGTATCTAGTAATGCTCTTCTAAACTTGGGAACCTATTTGCACTGCATGAGATCTGAGGCCATTAATGAGATAGGCAAAAGATTTACCATGGTCGTAGCATGGTTCAGTGTTGTGATATTACGAGATGCGCCAAGAGGGGGGTGAATTGGAAATTTGTTGCAATAAAAAGACAATCCTAAAAAGGAGTTCTAATTTTTTGTGTTTTTTTTTTTAATTTAAACAAGAGAATTAATTAATACGGAAGCGAATGCTACAATTTGCAACAACGAATTTTACAACAATTTTCACTAAGCAATTTTAACAAAAATAAAATACATAATGTAAATAAAATACAGTAAGGGAAAAATCACACCAAAGATTTTATAGTTGTTCGGTCACTTGACTTACGTCCATTCCCCAAAGTCCTCCACTCCGGGAATTTCACTACTAAACAGTAATTCTCCTTTTACTCCCACAACAAAGCGGAGAAGCCTTTACAAACCATACTTTCACCATACCGGCGTGGCGGAGAGCCAAACGCTTTCTCACCCTCCTGGTGACGGCAGCGTACCTTCTCATTTTTCTCTCTCCTGGAGAAGGCAAAGTACCTTAGAGGACACAGATGTAGAAGAATCTCCTCCTCAAATAGCCTCCCATAAGATCATCTCAGGCCACAGGAGGAGCAAAGTGCAACAAGCTTGGAGCAACTGTGTCATATCCCTCACACTCCTTCTCCCTCACAAAGCCCACCTTCTCCTTCCTCTCACATACCCCAAAATCTTCTCAAAAGCTCTCTACCAAGGAATGTGAGAGCTCGTTCCTTTGATTTTTTCCTTTCTGAATTTGATTTTCCTCCCAGGATCGTCCAGGACGATATTGAGATCGTTCAGGACGATCAGTGCAGTGAAACAGCTGATTTTCTGTAGTAGGATCGTCCAGGCCGATTTTGGATCGTCCTGGGACGATCAGTGCATGGCAAAAGTCAGTGAGCAAGGGTTTTAATCATCCGAGAAAATTAATTATCGTCCTGAGATATCGTCCTGGACGATTGGATTTTGTTCATATCGTTCTAGACGATATGGCGATCGGCCGGGCCGATCAGCTTTGTGTTATACGAAAATCAGCTCTTTTTTGATGAAAGAGAAAACATTTTTATAAAACAAAATATCTGAGGAGAGAGAAAGATAAGGAAATTAAAGGAAAAGCCGGATTTCGGAGGCCGCGGAGCGCTTTTCGTCCGTCGCCGTTGTTGGAACGATTGTTTATCTCGCGGTAAGGACTCCGAATCTTATTTCTGTTTTCGAAGATGTTGAGTTTTGGTCGTTTTGTGCATAGAATTGTGTTTTCGTTACCGAAAAATGCGCACCGTTTTGTATTAACGAAACTTTCACCGCACAACTTTTGATATGTTATTGATATGATTTTTCTACACGTTTTGAGTATTTTTTGTAACGGTTCTACCGGTTATTTTGGGTTCTGTGCGATTTTGATCGAATAGATAAATATCAGGATGTTGATTGATGTTGCTTCAGTAGAATAGAAGTCTTATAATGTTGTCGTGCACGTTCTGTATTAATTTGGTAAATTGTGATTTTTAGGAATTTTTGTGTAAATTCCGTATACTGCCGTTATGCCGCTGATTTTTCTTACGATTTCCGATTTTCTGAAATTGATGATTTGAATTGATATTCATACGAATGTGAATATGATTTGATATATTGTTCTAATACTGAATACTGAAAGACAAGTGGAACCAGGTTGAACCGTTGGTTGGAGATTGACTTGACCTGTATAGGATAGTGGGCCGACGGGTTTTCCTTTAAACTATTGATCATTGATATAATGATTGGGAGTCATAAGGAGATTACTATGCCGACGGGCACAGATTGACGACTCTTATTGAACCAATTTATGGATATCTACAACAGCACTATGAATTTCTACAACAGCACTGTGGATTATCGAATAGCTAGTGATCGTACTTGTTCAGTAAGACTATTGTATTGAAATGCATGTGTACGACATTGACTCGTGATGGATTTATTGCTTTATTGATTTGGATTTACTAACGGATTTACGGACTTACTGTTATCGTACGATTTCATTGATATTTATATTCTGTCACTGCGCATTGCTACTGTTATAGATACTGTATGGATATGGATACTGTAATTGATTCATTGATGCTATGGTTGGATACTATGGATTCATCTCT